GATGTCATTTACCCAAGGTGCCTGTCCAGGTAGATCTATCATCAATGCTGCCACAACTACCACCTCCCAAATATGTCCCTTAGTAATATCTCCATAATCCCGATAACCTCAAATGACTGCTCCTTCAGCTCACGAGTAACTGTGCTTGTATCTAATACCACTCGCAAATCCCGTCATCATTCATCAGTTCAATAAATCCCCGTCCCCCTTCCCTAAACCGCCTAGCCCCCAGCGGTGGCCCGGCCCTGCAAGTGCCCAACTGGCTCTCTAGCGTCTCCGGGGTACGTACTTGCAGGCAGCCTGTCTGTACATTGTACCATGCACTCCAGAACTCCAATGTCAAAGCCATCATTCAGTCGAGTCTCAGTCATCGCCATCCCACAGTCGTCAGCCCGAATCTTAACGATCCCCCCTTATAAAGCGCATTCTGCTTGCTTTGCTCCATGGCTAGGTAGGGGTCGGCCCTGTCGCCCCATCGCCAGAATCACTTCGACAAGCACGGCAGCCACCCGCAGCATAATCGCATCAACCTGAGAAAAGACAACCCGAACATCAAAGACAAAATGGGCGACGCACTAGCCGGTATCAAAGTAAGCCCTCACCCTCCCGAGAAACAAAAACCCCAAAAAAGAACACAATCGACGGATAGCTCGACATCCCGACTTGAATGCGCCCGCGACTAACGCGCCGCGTGCCGCAAAACCCAGACGCTCGTCATCCCCGCCGTCATCTCGCTCATCATCTTCCTCCTCCTCACCTTCGTCGTCGTGCCCGTGTGGCGCCGCTATCGCAGCCGCTACAGCCAGTACCTGCCCATCGACGCAATCTCCGAGCACACAACCTCCTGGCGCTACCGCATCACCAACCGCATCGTCCGCATCGCCAGCCTCCCCTTTCGATGGCGGCGAGATAGGGATATCGCCGTGGCCGGCGGCATTCCGGATCGCGACCTCGAGGAGGGCGAGGAGCTGGGGGACATAGACGAGGACATTGCCCAGGTGCTTAGTGCCCTGGCCCGGTCCAGACGGGCGGACAACGAGAGACGCCTCAGCCGGGAGTAAGTACGTTGGCGGCCAGATGCATTTTTGTTTTCGTTCTGTGCCCCCGTGCCAGGCTGACTGTATATAAGGCTAGAGGAGGGATTCATAGACGACAGCAGCGATTCAGACTCGGATTAGCACGAGAGCCTGCTGAAGAGATGGATAAAAGAGAAGCGCAAGGGGAACATGTCATTATAATACATCTAGAGACATCACGCCACCTTCTGGCAATACAGGGGATTACCTGCTCCAAAGGCATGACCAAAGGCCAAAAGGGCCGGATAATCAACAGGGCACTACTAGCGACTCATTCAAGACGGCCTCGTACCCGGTGGATAAAGAGACACGAGTAGCCTCACATACCACCCGCCTGACATTGCGATACTGGGTATAAGTTGGCGCCAAAAGCGATGGACGATTTAGCACAGTTGGACAATAGCCGCTTCCTTATACTTCTATTAGAGATGTACAATACCATCTATCAACTTTATAGAAAAGACCTGCTTGAAGCTGTCCCCCAAACGCTCCATGCCAAAACAAAACGCTCGCCCTGCTCGCCAATACAGAAATATCACATGCTGTGCTCCGGGTATCTTGTGGCCGGGTTCAACTCGAAAAGAGACGAAAACATGGCGTGTCGCCGAAACCGGCCATGCAAATCGAAAAAACAAAACCAAAGAGAATGAACATCCCTGAACGCCGCCGCTGTGCGCTTCTTCGCTATCCCAGACGGGAATAATGTACCGCCATCGGAATTGAACAGTTTCTCAACCTTGAGGCACCTCTTATCCTTCATCTTCAAATCTTCTGGAGGCCTCCCACTCTTCCTGGATCTGAGCTGCCGTTATATGGCCACAATAGTTGCATGTATAGACAACGAATTGACCCATGTGTCTCAATGTCGCTCCTACATATGTCGAGGGTATACGGGGTAAATCGCTCAACGGGTTAGCACTCTCTGTTCTGGGAGGTGTGATCAAGGTGCAGTCAACAGTTTCGTCCGAAGACGCTTCCGTTGATTCATTCGAACCTGAATCGCTATCTGTGAGAGTCCTCAATTCTTTTTGGGGTGTGTTAAAGGGGTTGTGAAAATGGAGCGGGACAGCCTGGATGAGATTATCCATCTCTGCTTCGCGCTCGTCTAGAAGATGCTCGGCTGGGATTCCAAGAGTTGCTCCGGTTGGAGATCCCGGGGGAGTGAACCCTTCTTCGTTCGGAATGGAGACATGAGGAACAATCGTACCGCCTAACGGGCAAGGACGAGGCGGGTACCGACCAAGAGACGGGGAGGGAGTATGAGACGGGCAACGACCACGAGGCACACATGGAGGCCTAGGTGGTGTATCTTGCGTGATTACGGGTCTGACCAAGTGTTCCCTGCTTCCGGATTCAAGCTCTCGCTCAATCATAGAACGGCTTCTCCTCAGACGCATCCATTGCCGCCTCCATGATGTAGCGATATGTTCGGTGACGGTTCGGCCAAAGCCCCTGATGCCCATTGCTGCTTTTTTCAAGTGCTGACTGGCGGAAAACGATTGAGTGGTAGTGCCCAGAGCGAGACTGGAGATGTAGACGAGAGATATAGACTGCTGTATGATGTATATAAGAGATGGCTGTTTGGAATGAAAGTTTGGTCATGGTTGTATGATGTAAAGTTGTTGGATGTTAAGTCGACGAGTTTCGAGGTAGCAGATGCGGCGTGTACGCTCTGTCTACCTATGCATAATGTGTTTCTCTCTTTCTCTCCAATAGATGTAGCTGCCTTCTGGATGACAATGTTGATTGTCCAGGTTTATCATGGTAAGCTCGACTTTGTGTGTTGACGCTGCAAGGTTTACTCTGGATTGGCAGTTTCCTTCTTGATAGGGTTGGTGCTTGCCTTGAATGATAACTCTTCTCTTGTCATACGATTCATGATTTGAAATCAGGTATAAAAAGTTGTTTACTCAAGACGGGGTAACGTTTGCTATGCTCATCTGCTTGGATTTGGAAGGTTTAGATAAAAGGGGACTCTGCAGGCATCTATTGTTCCAAGTTTAGCAGCATCAGCCTCTTCATGTATTCTGAAAAGCTGAATCCCTTGATTCCATATTTTCTTGATAAAATAGAATACAAATTAATCTAATACATCTTCGGGTTGCATGTTTAGAATCGTAAAGACGTCGTCCATTCTCACTAAATGGATAAACAGGTTGATGCACTGGGCAATCCTAGGCAGGTCCAGCTACTGTGCTGCAGCGCTCGTTTCCCCCACTAACACCACCTGTGCAGCCAAACTCCAGCAACCGCAACTTCAACCTGCTCCGCGAACTTGTCCATTTTCACGCCTCAGCCAACGACATCCCCCCCAAGATGAGATTCCACAGCGATTTAAAAAACATTCGCACATTTGCCAGTGAGTTCATCTCCATCACAACAATCCCATCATCATCATCATCCCAAATGAATTGAGCTGACCGGCTTCACCCTCGCAAAGAACTCACGGCCGCATTCTCCGCCTTGGAGAAGCTGGTATGGCTGCGCCTGAGCGATGAGACGGCGCATTTCACCGTCGTGCCAGACACGGGATCGCAAATCTGGTCGTAAGGCATCACCTTCATTGTTCCTCCTCTCCGTTGCTGACTGAAATACCAACCCGTTTCTGTCAAAAAGGGCGCTGCCAATGGATTTCCTCTTCGAAAACTGCACCATCCAGTCCGCCGAGCCAGGCAACACCATCAACCTGGAACTCTCCCTCCAGCCGCTCCATCGCGCCCTGAAATCCGCCCAGAACAGTCTCTCAGCTTCTCTGCGCCTCACCAAGAAGAAGGGCATACCTGTGCTGTCCATGACCATCACCACTACCACATCCAGGCCGTCCCACGGAAATGCACCTGCGCCCTCGAGACCCTCTCACGACGATCCCTTTGGCGACGACGACGACTTTCCCTCGGCCCATCTCGAGACTTCTCTACGGAGAGAGCACGAGAAGATTATCACTCAGGATATTCCCATCCGCGTGCTCCATCCAGACACCGTTGCCTCGACCGTCCAGCCCGTGCTGCAAGAGCCAGACGTGCACATTCAGCTGCCGCCACTCCTCCAGCTCAAGTCCATCTCGGACCGCTTCACCAAGCTCGCCCTCGCCTCCAATGGCTCCAACAAATCCCCTAGGCTCGAAATCAGCGCAAACATGCACGGCGGGTTGCGTGTGCGCATCGCCACCGAGACGGCAGACATCTCCAGCGCCTGGACGGATCTCGACAACCCGGAGCTAGATCCGGCCCAGCTCAGGGTCCCCATCGAGGATCACCCTAGTACGAGGTTTCGCGACCGTGGACCTGACTCTTGGGCTTCGATTTATGTCGACGGGAAGGACTGGAGCAGGGTTCTCAGTGCCGGTAGACTTGAGGGGAGAGTCATTGCATGCTTCTGCCACAATCATTCTTTGGTGTTGTATGTCTATATACCACACTATGACGATGCAGGCGGGGATGATGCAGTCCTAACGGTAAGTTTTGTCTCTTATTTCATGTCTTTTAATATGCAAGCTAACCCCTAGCCTTAGTATCATGTTCAAGCATATACTGCATAAGGTAGCCGGTAAATGGCGACGCTATAAACAGGCGCAAAGGAATTTGGGAGGTTTCACGGCGTACTTCAAAAGATAAGGGGATCAAATGCTCTTTTTTTTTTTTTGCTCTTCTCGTCCAAGATATCCAAAAAATGTTGCGTAGTCATGTACATCTGCATCAGTCATCCGCTCGTTCGTTCTCTCATGCCATCATTCCTTCCGTTCCAAAACTTCGTCTTGAAGTAAAAATAAGAAACCTCAGCCAACAATTATTACAGTACCATGACGTCCAATCCTATAATACAATACTAAAACCGGCTGTTGTTGTTGATAAAGAAACAGATTCTGTGCTCAATGCAAGATGAAAGACAGAAAGAAACACTTCTCATTCTATCAAGTTTGTTGCTTCATTTGGCCATGACATCAACATAACGCCCAGCCTTCCTGGCCTTCTTTTGCCCTGGTTTGCGAGGTCCAGCGCTCAACAGGTCGTCGATGCTGCTGGCATTGCTCATGCTCGTAGTAGGCCTGCTAGAGGGCTTGCTGTCGGTGCTCGCGCCAGACATGGACCGCAGCATTGGCGGCGCGCTGAGACTCTCCTGCGACGGAGCCCTGTTGAGGACTGCCGGCGGAGCCAAAGTTCCAAAGCCGGATGACGGGGGAACACTTGATCGGCCCTGTGCGGGAGGCGGCGTGAACTGCCTGAGCGGAGGAGTTCCGCTGACGGACCGGGGACTGCTGCTGGCCTTGGGGGGCGGCGGCGTGGCTGACTTTGCTTCGACCTGCTCGGCTCCGGGCTTCTTGTTGATCCATCGCTTGAGCTCGGGATCATACACAAAGCTGCTTGCTTCGCCGAGCTTGGCCCTGATAGGTTTACCGGGGGACGAGGACGAGAGCTCTCCAGGGCTTCCGCCTTCCTTTTTGCCACCTCCGAACCAGCTGGAGAAACCCCATCCTTTCTTGGCCTGCGCAGCTTCGGCGGCACGTCGGGCTGTTCATGGTTAGTACAAATGGTCTCTCATAGTCATTGCAAAAGAATGGAGTGGTGAAAAGATAAAGACACTTACCATCTTCTTCTGCGGCCTTACGGAACATCTCTTCATTCTCACGATCCTTTTCCGCCTTGGATCTCTCCTTAGCCTGAGGAGCGGAGAAATCGTCGTCGTCATCATCCATGAAGCTCTTCTTCTTAGGCTTGGGTTCATCATCGTCTTGTTCCGCAGATGGCCCAACACCGGAATCGTACGACGGCGGCTCATACCCATAAGGCTGGAATGACGGAGGTTCATAGCCGCTTGAGGGAGGTTCATAACTGTTCGACGGGGCTCCAGTTACGCCACCATTTTTGTCTTCAGGTTCCAATACAGACGTGCTTGTTGGAGGTTCATATCCGTATGAAATAGGCTGGTATCCTTGGGTAGAGGGGCCTGCCGTTGGTGGTTCAGAGAGCGGCTGTGATGAGGCTGATTCCTGATGTCCGTATGGCTGATATCCGGAGTACCCTTCATTTTTAAGGATAGGAGTCATTGGCTGGAAGCCAAGACCTGATGAAGCAAATCCATTGCTGTGAGGTGGAGAGCCAGCAAGAGAGGGGGAAACTCCGTATGTGCTAGTATTGTACTCGTTCGAGTTCCGCCCGGCCTGGGGGAATGACGCTGACACCTGTGGTGATTCGGCGCCATAAGCAGGCTGAGAGCTGGCAGGGGCGTATCGAGACAACGCCGACGACAGGGCTGATGTTGCGGCGGGAGCGCCAGCCCCGGGGTAGCTGGGGGAGCTGATGCCCAAAGTGTCAAAATTGGAAACAGATGGAGAGCGGCTCATCGATGGGGTTCCGATGCGGGCAAACGGACCGCTTTCCTCATTTGGCGTTGCGTTGGTGCCATCAGGATCATCACCGGCAACGAACTTGTTGAATCTGTTCCACATGCTGTCTGACACCTTGTTCATGGTAGGCTTGGACATCCATGAAGAGGATTCTTCCTTTGGAGCCTGTTTCAAGCGTATCATGAAGTCGTCGACAGCCGCTTCCAGCAGCTGGTGGTGATAGGGCGATCGCTTTGTCTGAGAAGATATCGCTGTGAGAATGGCATCGCAGTACTGGAGGGCCCTGTCCCGGAAGCCATATTCAGCCAAGGTGATGGCGTGGTGAAGTTTGTAGGCTGCTAGGTGAGGAGCGCCAGCGGCTGCTGAAGCGGTGCCTGAAAGAGACAGGCCGTACTCGTAAACCTCGCTGAGTTGCAGAGCCTCCGTATCCTTGGCAATTTGGTGCGAGTTCTGGCGATGGTCTGATCCCAACAAGACAAAGTCAACATTTGGGTCATCAAAGCCACCGTACACAGATATTTGCCTGCTAAACATGAAACAGATGTGAGCTGCTTCCGCTCTTCCGTAGCTAGACAGCAGCTTGCCCAAGGCATTCAGCCCACGGATGTCATCGGCACTGCGATTGCTTAAAACGAGAGTCAAAGTTTCCCTCCACTTGTCCAAGCCTTCCATAGAGTCCTTGGCCGGCTGAGAAGATGATCCGGTCGAGACCAGCTGCAAGCCAGCACGGGCATGCACAGGAACGAGCTCATCGACACAATCGTCATAATTACCGGATAGGATTTTGTAAAGAGCCGCAAGAGACTCATTATTCTGGCCAGGGTGGTTGACTTCCTTGCGGACAAACTCCTGTGCAACACGCTTGTACAGGTCGGGCGAGACTGTGTGGGAAATGAGCATGGCGTGGCCCCATAAACGCTTGTCGACCGCGGCCCAGACAGCAGTTTCACGGTCACCTTTGAGAAGGGAGTGACGAATTTGCTCCATAGTAGCGGAATCGGCGCCGTCGGCCTGCATCGACGTCAACGAAGCGCCATTGAGACTAATGGTCGGATCGGTCGGAAACAGGGCATCGTTTTCCGCAGTTGGCGTAATAGTCCCTGGGGAGAGAACATCTCGGACGGCCTTCTCTGCTGCAGGGTTGCCTTCTAGCACGCCGTCATACTCGACAAAGACGCGGAGTATCCTCCACAGCAACAGGCGTTCAATGGCCCGTTTCGCCTCGTAAGAAAGCTGTGGGTGGAAAGACACGTCTGGCAAGTCCTTTGCCAGGCTTTCGATTCCAGCACTTAGCCAAGTAAGTACCTCTTTCTTCTTTGATTTGCCCTTTAGTGGACCGGGGAACTTGGCCAGGCGGTCCTGCAAAGACTCAATGTCCTTGATATTCCGCACCCTGACTTCTCCTGGAGCTCGCAACATGGATGGTGTAGTTTGGTTCATGACATATCTCGGAATGCTTTGGGGGAAAGAAGTGACTACTGTTCCGCCAACTCCCCAAGAAATAATAGGAACGCCTTGCCATCTCTGAAGAGGGTCTTGTTCTCGCCCATCAGTGGGAGCAATCATGCTCATAGCCTGATATATAGAGCGAGGATGGGCACTGGGCGCATGTGCAGTCTTGGTAGCTGGAGGAGACGCGGGCGAATGCGAAGATGCAGGTCGACGAGCGGGCTCTAACGGCTTCGGGCCATACTGGTTACCTCGAGTAGCCCCAGGAGATTGCGTCTGAGCTCGGGGAGGTGGAACAAACTCTGGCTGGGTCGAAGGAAGGCCGCTAGGTATGTAACCAGAACCTGGCCTTTTAGGGGGTGATAAGGTAGCCTGAGCCGAAGGGGTGGGCAAGGGCGGTGGCGAACGGGTGGCACTGAGAGACTGGTCGTCTTCCTCCTCAACTTCTCGGGTGGGAGGGAGGGAGGCAACACGGGTCAGTCTGGGCTCATACGAGGAACTAGCTCGTCGCTCAGTGTGAACAACTTCTCCATTGACACCATGTGGCTTGTCACTGCTAATCTCGAAATGTGCCAACGGGCTAGAGGTCCGCGGCAGATGAGGTAGGGCTGCCTGAGGTGGTGTGGCCGAGACAGCGGGAGTATATGCAGCGGTTGGGGTGGATGCAGGTGGTGCTGGAGAATACCGGCTGGCCGGTGGCGGCGCACTTTGGCTGGTAGTTCCCTGGGGGGGAGGAGCTGGAGAGTATCTGGATGCATTGGCGGCCGGTGAAGGCAGAGGGCCATTTGGCGATTGAAGGGGCGCATAAGGGCTGACTCGCTCAGGAGCCACAAGATTCACCTTGGCGACCGAGTTTGGAGGAGCAGCAGGCGGAATCTGAGTTGCCATGGGAGGGCTCAGAGGAGATGGCCCATGGGGGGAGGTTGCCAGCGCAAATGGGTTCGGGGAAACAGCTCTGGTGCTCTGTCTAGAGATTGAACGCGGCCTAGGTGCAGTCGGCAAGTCTTCGAAGAAACCCGACGACTTGTGTCGTAGAAGAGGCGATTTCTGAATACCGCCTGGGGGCACCATCTCAGTCGCGCTCATGCTGGCGCTTCGCGGTGGGGGAGGAGGCTGCAGTGAAGAATTGTTATTCAGTTGTAGCTGCTGCAGACTGGCTCGTTTCCTAGGCTTCACGGTGGAGGTAACCAAATCCGATGGGAGATCATAAGGCGACGAATAGCCTCCCTTGGACTTGTCGGCAAAGCTCTGAGCTCTAGGCGAATCTGAGGCCTGTTGCAGGGGAGGATGAGGAAGAGCTTGGCCGTATTGCGGCGCAGCTTGGAATGCCGTCACCTGGGGGGAAGGTACACCATAAAACGACGGCTGTGATGGCGTCGTAACAGGCGTATATGCAGAAGCAGCGGATGTCGACCGTTGCTGAGTAGGTGCATATGTAGTGGGCGCAAAAGCAGGCGTTGATACCACACTACTAGCTTGTGAGCTCAGCGGTGCGGTCTGAGTCGGCGCTGGTGCTTCATCAAGATCATCCAAAAGGCCTTCATCATCGCTGCCCAAGAACGCAGCAGCATCCACTTCCTCCTTATCTTCTGCCGTCGTGTTCTCAATGAGGAAATCATCACCATCATCATCGCTGGCGAAGGCTTGTTCCCATTTTGACGAAAGATCCTGGCCTGGAGGAGCTCCTGTCTCGTTCGCGTTACCATGTCCTTCGAGCGGGTCTGTCTTCTCAATCACATTGCCAAGGGGTGAGATAAGGCCTTCTTCATCCCACTCAGGCGTCTCCTCAAGCGTGGGTTGGTGAGAGAAAGGCTCTACGCTGGCAGCTGCCAAGACTTGCATCGTCGATTTCCGCTGCAACGACGGGCTTTCATCTCCCTTGTCTGCAGCGTCTTCTCCAGATTGGTTGATTTGGCTGAAGAAGTCGTCATCCTCGTTATCATCGTCAAAAGAGGGGGTATGGGCATTTTCGCCACTGGCTGTAGCATCAGGTTCGACGTGTGAATGGGGTATCAGTGGAACTCCCTCCTCGAATCGCGCTTCGGATTCTGCATCTTCCGCCCATTGTATGTCTCCGCCAATAGATCTAGACGGCGCATGCTTGCGCTGTGAATCTTTCGCAGGCTCGGATGTCGAATCTAAGCCGGCCTGAGGTTGCGCATCGGCTTGATACTCTTCTTCTTCAACGTGGACATCTCTCTCTGTCTCCTCCAGCACATCAAGCGCCTGATTCGATGGCAGATGTACATCATCGATACGCTCTGGGTCCTCCGCCATCAGAGGCACGACGGGAAAAGAATTGGTTCTGTCGGTTGGGGACATGAACTTGAAAGGGTCTGTGTCGGTCCTTGAGAGGGTCCACTCGGTTTCGTCGTTATCGCTAAAACTGACTTCGTGAGAGGTCCGAGCAAAGGACATGGAGCTTGAATGTTGCGCAGTACGGGTTGCAGTTGCAGCCGCATCTCCTTCTCTTTCTGCTACGGGCTCCAAAGGCTCTGCGGTGGTCTCAGCAGTTCCCTGGTGCGGCTCGGGATCCTCCGAAGCTAGCCCAGCATCGCCCTCAACATCGCCACCAAGAGAATAAGCCTGGTCTTCGGCATCGCGCCCGCCCTCATGATGATCCAATCCCGCCGGCTCTTCTTCAGGTGTCAGGTCATGGCCTTGAGTCTCGGGCAAGGGCTGCTCCGCAGATGCTTCTAGTATTGTGTGGTCGTCGTGGTCTGCTGGAACATCATGTACGCTATTTGGCATCAGTGCCGGATTCCATGATGAGGTGAGCGGCTCGCTGGCCATGATCAATTGAAGGCCGAAAGGAACAGCTCCTCGCGAGCAAGGCGCGAATCGGAAGCTTCTACACAGGCCAAGGATTGTTAGCAAGCGAAGCGAAGACGATGGAGACGCAAGCCTGGATTCGGATATCGGAGCTGTCCAAGGCGCGCGCGAAGGCAAAGGGCACAAGCAAAAGCAGCGGTAGGTACCTTGTACAGAAATGAATCGAGGAAAGAGATGGCGGACGGCTTAGACGGGGATCATGATCGGTAGCAAGGGCAGCATATAAACAGCAGAACGGATATCAGATGGAGATGACAAGGGCCAGTTGGCACGTAATGCGTAGAGAATCAGGAGTAGAAGCCACTGAGCACGGGCGTACCATGTAGAGGTGCTAACCTGTGCGCTAGCGGAAGCGTGGGAAAATACCTAACAGCAGGTACTCGCGCGGGTGGTGCAATGTGTTCCTTGCCTCTGTTAGTATGGACAGTACTGGTCTAATACCAACGTCACATTCCCGTCGAGACAGATGGACGACCTGGAAGGCTGCCGGCGCTTAGCCGGCGCAACATCCAATACATCCCACCTTTACCAGCGTCGCGAGGAATGTTAAACATAAATCGATGATACGCGGTTTTTCATTCACTACCGGTAGATGCTTCATGCTCTAGTCGCTCTACTGTGTTCCGAGCTTGCAGCAGGATTTTCCAGTGGCAAACACACAAACGCCCGCTCCCAACAATCCATGCGTATAGACCCTGTAACTGTAACTGTAACTGTAACTGTACACCTCGGAGAACGCAACACCGTCTTACCCACAGGAGCCGCTCTGATATCCTCGCCCATATCTGGCCACCTGCCTGCTGAGGCCAGGTTTCACAATCGCCGCGTCCCCACGCTGTCAGCTTTTATCCTCGCTACGGCCATGTCTATGTCTGCAAGCCAGGATTCAGCCGGGGAGTATGAGTACGGTACTCGTATGGGCAGCTGCAAGGTCAAACTTTGCAATGCCCCGCGATGCTCGGGTTGTGTTTTTAACCTGCACTCACTATACAACATCCCTGTGCCACGGGATCGATCCCCGCAGTAGCTCGAGATGAGATGGCCCTCATCAGGAAGGTCTCATTGGCAGCCGACTGACATGTGGTGATTCTGTCCATTCGGTGCTGTTATCGCAAACTGCCTGCATGATGGCGCTGCTACGTCGTGTGTAAGTGTGCATGTATTACACAGTAGCTCTGGCGGGGGAATCAGCGGCATGGCCCAAACAAGGCCTGCGTCGGCTCGGCTGCAGATGCTACCTGGAAATGACACGTACGCCGTAATCAAGATGTGCAGTTGGGTTTTCTTTGTTTCTATTTGGCCAGCTCTTTGCCACTCCAAGTAAGTCACGGGTGGTTCTTACAGCCAGGTATGAGAAGCTAGGTGTAGCAACACCAGAGACAGATGACAGGATATGAAGCTGGTCGACCAAAAGACTCGAAATCTCGCATTGAAGCTACCTTGAATGAGCTGCTTCTACCGTGGCTCGTATTAAAAGTTGTACACACAATGACGGAATTCAACGCGGAGTTAATCGTGTTATCTGTACATGTATTTTATTCCCATCCGATCCGAGCGTTGCTCCCGGATGCCTAAAGCTGGACACAGACATGTGATGGCGGCTTCGGCTTCTAGATAGATGACGTGCGATACGGCATTGGAACTGTTATCCATGCATAGATAGCAACTCAATGCAGCTACTACGATAGATAGTGTTGTATTACATACCTTAATCAAACCAACATAAACTGTGCCAATCGTAGGTATAATTACATCCAGATAATACTCAACATAAAACATCAACTTATGTCAAGGTACGCATCAATGAATCGCAAAGCCTCTGCGAATGTCCGTCTGTTAGCGCACGTGTGGCGCTGCGTAGGCGCCCCACCCAGGCTCTGACGAAATCCCCTGGCTCCGGGGCTCTTAGCGCGCGAGGCCTTACGTATCCCTTCTGTTTGGTCCGATACAAACAACGACACGATAGCTTCAGCAACTCTTTGTTTTTAACAGCAGAATCGCACATGGACAATCGCATATTCCTCTGAGAGTGCACCGGCCATCGATACACTTATAAGACCCTTTTGGGCGAGCACCGCCTCTATCCATCCAACCGACCGAATAATGCTGCCCACCGCATTTCTCCGTCTACCGCTGTAATCCACTCCGATCTGCCTTTTTCTCCCCTCCCCCCTGCTCAGGCACGCAGCATGAGCACCCGGCCGCGGTGGCAGCTCTCTCAAAACGCAACTCATCGCCGAGGCCCGGAATCAGCTTGATGCGGGATGCCTCCTTCACCCTCATACCAGCCGCCCGAGTCTCCGTCAAACGATTCCGACTCCGATCTCGATCTTGACATCCAAGAGCTCGACCCCATTTCAACAGAGCCGGCACGTGAGGTGCAGCAGAACCGTCCGGTAGAAGAACAGAGGGCTTCCAGAATAGCTCTAAGGAACTTGCGTATGGGTGGGCTGCGGCGCACAAAGCGAGATAGTGGATATGGAGACCTCGGTCGGAATCGTCAAGACTCACACGAGCAAGAACAAGACTTTATAGAAGACCATGACGAGCACAACTCTAGGCTCCATTGGTCTGAAGAAGGAGGTGGAAATGGAGAGGATAATGCGCCCTTACTGGGCGATCAGGGCTCGCAGAGCCGAAAACCACCTACGTCCGGACGTCTAGGCTCCGGCATACGACTACTCAGCTTCTTTTCGACAAAGAAGCCCGATGGCAGGGAAGCAGAAGAGCAGGCCGAGGATGATGACCCATCGTCTTCTCGAATGGTCGCCGTGGGCTCCATCCAAGCGTCTCGATTCCCGACCAATATCGTCTCCAATGCCAAGTACACGGCAATCACCTTCCTGCCGATAACGCTATACAACGAGTTCTCATTCTTCTTCAACATGTACTTTTTGCTGGTTGCGCTATCCCAAGTGATACCAGCCCTCCGAATTGGTTATCTGTCTACGTACATTGCTCCGCTAGCCTTTGTTCTTTGCATTACCATGGGAAAGGAGGCGTACGACGATATCGATAGACGACGAAGGGACAATGAAGCAAATTCGGAAGAATACCATGTACTGCAGTTTACGGAACCCGGGAATTACGCAAAGAGTTCAAGACCGCGCAAGCCACTAAAATCAGAGACGGTTGGGCGCAAAGGCCGAAAGGCGCAAGCCGGGCGCCATGACCTTACCGATATCCAAGAGGATGGGGAACAAGCCACTTCAGTTGTTCAGGAAATCAGCCGAAAGTCAAAGGATTTGCGCGTGGGTGACGTTCTCAAGCTAACCAAAGGCCAGAGAGTGCCAGCAGATGTCGTGATTCTGCAATGTCACTCAACGGAGGGAACTACGGTCGACTCATCTGCTGAGCCCGTCGAAGAGGAGGAAGAGGAGACGCTACTCGCATTCGAAGAAGGGGAGTCCAGCTCCAGTGCCAAAGGCAAAGCGCCCGAGGCACCAGCATCCCAAGACCACGAAGCGAGCAGCGGCCCTTCTGGGGAAACATTCATCCGGACAGACCAGTTGGACGGAGAGACGGATTGGAAACTGAGGTTGGCGTCTCCTCTCACTCAGAGTATTGCTCTGGAAGAATTTGTCCGCCTTCGTATCACAGCCGGCAAGCCGGACAAGAAAGTCAACGAGTTTGTTGGAACGGTCGAGTTGATGCCTACTAGACAGGCGGCAACCAGCCAGCAAGCCATGTCGGACGGCGAAATGAGCAACGATTCCAGATCAGCTGCCTTGTCCATCGATAACACCGCTTGGGCCAATACTGTCATTGCCTCTCAGGGCACTACCTTTGCAGTCATACTGTACACCGGCCCGCAGACCCGATCCGCGCTTTCCACCTCTCCGTCTCGCTCAAAAACCGGCCTCTTGGAATACGAGATCAACTCCCTGACCAAGATCCTCTGTGCTCTCACGCTGGCCCTATCCATCATACTCGTCGCCCTTGAAGGCTTCGAAAAGAGTGGCGAAAACGCCTGGTACATCAAGATCATGCGATTCCTTGTCTTGTTTTCGACCATTGTGCCAATCAGCCTTCGAGTAAACCTAGATATGGGCAAGAGCGCCTTTTCACGATTCATCCAACGAGACCCAGGTATTCCAGGGGCGGTTGTGCGTACAAGCACCATTCCAGAGGATCTAGGACGGATCGAGTACTTGCTGAGCGACAAAACTGGCACATTGACCCAGAATGACATGGAAATGAAGAAGATTCACGTCGGAACCGTTTCATACGCCAATGAAGCTATGGATGAAGTCACCTCCTATGTCCGCCAGGCCTTTTATGTCCAGCCCACCACTGATCCTTCGTCTCACGGCACACTCATTACTCCTTCCTCAGCCATGTCCAATACCGTCAATATAGGAGCCACTCGCACACGACGAGAAATCGGGTCCCGTGTGCGAGATGTTGTGCTTGCTCTTGCGCTCTGCCACAACGTGACGCCAACATCAGAAATTGAAGACGGCAAGGAGGTAACCTCGTACCAAGCATCTTCCCCAGATGAGATTGCCATTGTGAGGTGGACTGAATCCGTGGGACTGAAGTTATCGTACCGTGACCGCAAAGGAATGGTGTTGGAATCCACTGAAACTGGAAAGCCGGTCGTCAAAGTACGGATCCTTGACGTCTTTCCATTTACATCAGAAGGCAAACGCATGGGAATCGTGGTCCAATTTCTCGACAACATGCACGCCAACCCTGCTCTCGGCAACGGCGAAATCTGGTTCTACCAAAAGGGTGCAGACACTGTCATGAGTTCGATCGTGGCGGCAAACGACTGGCTCGATGAGGAGACGGCCAACATGGCGCGTGAGGGACTGCGAACTCTTGTCGTCGGACGGAAGAAGCTTTCTCATCAACAGTATCAAGAGTTTGCCTCTCAATACCATGAGGCCTCGCTTTCCATCACGGGACGAGATGCTGGGATGCAGCGGATTGTCTCACGCTACCTCGAGAGCGACCTGGAGCTGCTGGGCGTGACGGGCGTGGAGGATAAGCTTCAGAAAGACGTCAAGCCCTCGCTGGAACTGCTGCGAAATGCCGGTATCAAGATTTGGATGCTGACGGGCGACAAGGTTGAGACGGCAAGATGTGTTGCCATCAGCTCCAAGCTGGTTGCGCGAGGCCAGTACATTTACACTGTCGCAAAGCTCAACAGGAAGGACAATGCCCAGGAGCATCTGGATTTCCTGCGGAGCAAGACCGACGCCTGCCTGCTGATTGACGGAGAGAGCCTGGCGCTCTTTTTGACGCACTTCCGCATCGAATTTATTTCCATTGCTGTTCTCTTGCCTACTGTGGTGGCTTGTCGTTGCTCGCCGACGCAAAAGGCCGAGGTTGCAAAACTCATTCGTGAATATACCAAGAAGCGAGTATGCTGTATCGGTGATGGTGGCAACGACGTTTCCATGATTCAGGCCGCCGATGTGGGAGTCGGCATCGTCGGCAAGGAGGGTCGCCAGGCCAGTCTGGCAGCAGACTTTTCAATTGAGCAGTTTTGTCACTTGGTCAAGTTGCTGGTGTGGCATGGGCGGAACAGCTACAAGCGCAGCGCGAAGCTGGCTCAGTTTGTCATTCATCGTGGACTCATCATCGCCGTCTGTCAAACTATGTATAGTATAGCTCTCAAGTTTGAGCCTGAAGGCTTGTACAAGGTACGTGCAGCATGATGTTGCAAAACCATCTGTTGTTCTTTTACTAACATGTGGCACAGAACTGGCTCATGGTTGGTTATGCCACCGTCTACACCGCGGCACCCGTCCTATCTCTGGTACTGGACAAGGACGTAGACGAAGACCTGGCAAACCTCTACCCCGAGCTCTACAAGGAACTCACCTCTGGCCGGTCCCTGTCCTACCGCACATTCTTCGTCTGGGTCCTAGTGTCCATCTACCAGGGCGGCATGATCCAGGGCCTTTCGCAGATCCTGACCGAGGTAGACAGCAAGAGAATGGTGTCAGTCAGTTACACGGTGCTGGTGCTCAACGAGCTTCTCATGGTGGCGATTGAAATCACGACGTGGCATCCTCTGATGATTATAAGCATTGTGGGGACGTTTATCTTTTACATTGGATCGATGCCTTTCCTGGGCGACTACTTTGACCTTGCATTTTTAATTACTTGGTGAGCCTTTATTCCCCCTCTTTCATCCATTCGTGGTCGTTGCCGCCTTTTGGACTGAAGGCTAATCTATCTTTTCTTTCTCAATAGGGGATTCGTCTGGCGTGTTTTGGCCATTGGATCTATCTCTCTAATCCCGCCGTATGCAGGAAAGCTAATAAGCAGGACGATGAAGCCACCGTCATATAGAAAGGTGCAGAATAGGTGATTTGAGCTATAGTTTTGCAGGTGTATAGGGGGTTGCGGAATCGGGGGCGTATTGGCGAGTTAGCGATTTTGTCATGTGTTGCATATATATATGCAATGTGCAAATAGAGGATGCTATTGTTTGTTGTTATTACAACACCTAGAGGAAACAGAAGGATTCGATAATTGGTGATGTTTTAACAGGTCTAATATTTTGAGGATTCTCTGGCTGTTGTAAGTTTTTACTTTGTTCTATTTTCCATGTACACCTCGTAAGTGGAGGATAGAAAAACTAAGACGGAGAATATTACAAACACTAACGCGTTGAATCATACACTTATTCTTTGAATATCTGCTATTATATCTATCTCTCTTTAGTAGCCGCCACCATATCCACATTTCTTTGGTAACTGCTACTATGTCTAATTTTTTATAGTAACTGCTGTTATTTATGAAGTAACAGGTGCTGGCTGAATACATGTAGGCATTCCCCTACAAAAAGGCACCGCTTAACGACCTGTTAATTAGGTGCTTATGTTGGTGAATGTATGCACTTATTGATTTTGCTTTGTTTTATTCTACGTGTACACTTGGCTAGAGCTAGAGCTTCAGGACGAGCCAGTCGTCCGCCAACCTTGGGTATCTTGTCTGAAGTTGAGCTGCTACGCCACCCACCGATCCTTGAACCTGCTGGCCGCCTAGCCATCTCTTGGGCCCAGCATAGTGGGCAATGAAGCCATCCGGGCCCGAAATCATGAAGAGGTTCTTTCCAGCTCCATGCCCGCATTTACAATCGTTTGATCCGGCAGGAGTCTCAAACTCGGACGTCAATTCCAACAATGCTGAGTCGTGTAGACGGCATCCGGGGCCTATAATGGAACGGCTGGCTAAGAGATGCCGGTCTTGTGCCCCTGAGACGGCGTTCTGAAGGTCAGCCGCACGGAACTGCGTCTGCTCCTCGTCAATGGCAACTTGTATCCGCAATCGTTGGCCATACGTCGTCTTCATAACCTTCAGCTGCTGCGCTATGGGACTGGGCTCCTGCAGCTGGGAATTCAATTCCACCGGCTTAGTGCTATTCGCAAGCCAAAACTGCCACCACGAGGGCCGTCGCACCGGGCTACTGACGCGCTGCAGCTCCTCCCTCTTGCGTATCGCCCAGAGGAGATTTACTTGAGCCTCCGGGTTCTTCTCCAGCACTGCCTTGGCGACTTGCATAGCTGGGACGACGCCTGTGCCGCCGGCGAGGAAGACGATGTTGTTCATGGCGCCGAGCCTCGCCGTGACATCAAAGCCTACGTGCGGTCCTCTCAGCCAGACATCGTGGCCGACGCCGAGGCGGCTGAGGTAAGTCGACATTTCGCCGCCTCCTACGGCGCGCACGTAGAAGCGCAGAGATCCATCAGCCGGGTCCTCGGAGATTTGGGGAGGCAGAGGCGTGTAATGGCGAGCGATTTGGACTTGGGGCTGCTTGAACTCGACGGACCAGAGGGGGTGGCGCCACGAGGGTGTAGAGGGCGTGAGATACGGGAGAGAAGGATTTGGTGTATGGGGCGAGATTGTGAAGATGAATGAGGTTGGAGAAATGGCCTCTCGGGAGGTTATCGTGTAGGGGATGAAGGTTTCTGAGTTGAGAAGAGTTGGTTTCGAGGGCGAGGAGAAGTAGTAGATGGCGGTGCCGAGGATGGCCGTGGTGATGAAGATGGGGATTTTGCGTGATTCCTTAGCGGGACGGGAGTGAGATTGCGATTGAGATGTGGTGGAATATTGGCGGAGGCATCGTATAGGTGGTGATGTTGTTCTTGTCGTTGATGAAAAGGCTCTTATGAGAGACGGAGACGCTTTGAGGTGAAAGTGGTCGAGTCTTGCCGCTGAAAGAACGGCTTTCGGGCTTGACATTGGAGGGAATTGTAAATTGAGAACGCCGATATTATATAACAGTCATGAATGAATAAAGTTGTAAATATGAGATATAGTTAATATATTCGATTGAACTTTGCTCAACTAACGAATTGTTTGCCGTATAGAGAAGAGCCTCATCACAGAGGTAGTGAAAATCAAACAACCGGGAAAAAAAGGTTAAAGGCGAGTCACGTGCTATGCCTGCATCCCGACTCTGTCCCTTCTGTGTAAATGACCGGATCCCATCAACCACCTTATCGATTCACCGATAGAATATTCAATGCCTCTCCCCCAAATCAACAAGATGAAAATGCAAAGCAATGCAAAGCAGAGAGAGAGAAACGCCGTTTCGCCATCCTAAAACAAGCGCAATGCATACAAACAAATGTCCAATGTCGCCAAATGACAATCACGCAATCAAAATCTCCAGGCTGTTGCTCTCGTACACGCCCGAGAACTCGTCCGGGTTGGACACGTCGTCCCAGTCAGCATCGCCAATCTCCTCCTTGGGCCGCTTCCACACCGACATCCAGCGGCCGCTCAGCTTGACGGTGGCCGAGCTGCCCAGCTGGCGCACCGGCACCGGGTGGCCGAGGACGATCTCGGCGGTGCGGCTCTCGCCCGGGCCCAGCGTCACGAGGCTGTCGCTGGGGGGCGGCCAGGCGCGCTTGAGGGCGATGGTCGGGTAGCTGAGCGGCTTGTTGGAGGAGGCGGTGCTGCTGCTGTTGTCGCTGTCGTTGCCGTCGGACGCCGCGCCGCCGGGGACGATGGACAGGTTGCCCAGCTCGAGGATGAGCCCGTCAAAGGGCGACTGGTAGGGCGCAATGGTGACGAGGTGCGGGTTGTTGTTCTTGACCGTGGCGACGATGGTGGGCGGCGTCGTGCTGGCCTGGCTGATGGAGACGTTGAGGCCGGCGAGGGGGTCTGAAGAGGGCATCATCGTTGCGGTTCTCTTCTCTTTGGAGATTCTTTCTTATTCGTCTCTGCACTTCCTTATCGGTGACGAAGATCAAGAAAAAACGGCGAATGATTGATTGATTGCGTCTGCTTCTCTTTATCTCTGTACAGCAGCTCGCAGAGACAAACTCCCGAATCGGTCCTTCGCGCTGGCAGAGGCCGAATCCGGCAGCTTATATATTCGTGCACACACGGAGTCCAGACGGCACTATTCGCCCCGGCCGTTGAAAACCCCTAAACGCCTTGCCGTCGACGCATGCAGTCATCAAATCAACCTGCAGTGTGGGGGCCCCTTTCGCTGCACTGTAAGCCCGGCTGCTGCTGGAGGTCGTCATGCTCGCTCTCCGCCATGGATTCCGCCAAGCGGCCAATACGGGGTGTTTAGTTGGTGTAACTGATTCCGGGAGACGGTTGGCGGGAATGCCGAGGAGCTGGGCAAAGCTGGGGTAGCGCAGGCGACTTGCGGGAGCCAATGGCCGATTGAAGGAATCAGATGCATCTGCAGCTCCGAGTCTAATGTTTGTTGCACGTTGCGTGAGGCATGTGAACATGTGAAGAAGCACCGATTCCGCCACGTTTTTTGCCTTTCCTTCCCCTTCCTTTCCTTTCCTTTCCCGGCCACGACATGTCAATGGTATACATACTAATGTGTGTATTCTATTCCCGTGTCTATTTGATACGGATCACAGCCGTAGGATCCGTCGATGCGCATCGATTCCCCCGCGAAACATGTCCTCCACAACTCGGCCCCCCATCACCGTCTCTCCCACAATGCCCTCCACATGCTTCGGCTCTACCCTCCCATACCAGATCCCGTAGCCCGCCAATGGGTGCTTCTCGCCCCCCTCGGTCGTGTATCCCGGCGGAATGTAGATGATCACGTTGCCCGCAAACTTGTGACCCCCAATGTGGCTAATCAGGCCAACCCTGGCCACCTTGTCGTTGCTGCTCCCTTCTATCCTCCCCGTCTCCCCCAGATTCCCATCCAGACTCCCGATCTGAACGGCTTCGCTCGCAACGTTGAAGCCTTGCCTCTCGAGCTTGTCCTCAAACTCGTCCCTCAACACGGGTCCCATGGCGCCGCACCGCTGATCCCGCCCGCCGTGCCCGCATATCAGCACCAGCACATCCTTGACGTCCTGCACCCCAGGCAGCAAGCCCTGGAAGGCCTCCTTTCGAGTCAGTCTGTCGCGATGCACGGGCGACAGCCCCGCGTGAGCTGGATGTAGCTTCTCGGGCAGCAAGAACCCCTTTGCGAGCGCCTTAACGCTGTCAAAGGACACGCGCGGCAGGAAAGGCACGTACTTGAAGCTGGGCAGCAGGTAGACCGACGTCGACTGGATCTCCTTTCGGGGAGGCACCGAGCTGGGAAAGGAGGAGTTGATGACGGAGATGTGATGGAAAGGCTGCACGTAGCATGGCCCGTTAGCTTTTAGTTTTTCCTCTTCATAGTCTCAGTATTCCCACAAAGGAGGGCTTCACTTACATCCGTATACTTGCCCCCCCTCCCAAACAGCTCCTTCAGATCCGCCGCCAGGTTGTCGCCGCCGTTCTCGTCCTCAATCTTGGACATCCAGTCGTCTTTCCCCGTGCACACGACGACGTGCTCGGCGTACCCGGCCATGACGCCGTTGAGCGGGTTCTCCCGGTCAATCTCCAGCCCGTCCGGCATGGCTGGCGTGTCGGCGCATCCGCACGTCGGCGACGGACAGGTCGAGACGGTGGGAAACGGCGGGGGAGGAGGATGCGGGCGCGCGGATTTCGAGGTGAGGCTTCTTCGTCTTGAGGGTATCGTCACTGCTGCTGCTGCTGCTGCTGAAGCAATGCTGTGATAAACTCCGATCCTGCTGAATTGGCACGACAGCCTCAATGGCATCAAATAGACGTGGACATGGAGAGGCATGCGCAACGACATGCTGGCGGCGGACAGAGACAGAGACCAGCGCTCGACATGCTGCTTGATCCGGAGAAAGAGAGAGATCCCAGATCCCAGATCTGCCCGTATGCAGTCAGTCAGTAATCCCGCCCAATGAGCAGCTTCTCCATTCTGAGCATGGATAAGGCAAGTCAGAAATCAATGTCTCGGAGACCGAGAATGCGGGCTTTTGTTTTCCAGTTTTTTTAGTTGAATCCCACGCTCCGGCTCAGCGCTCCCCATCTCCACTACGGAGCGGCCCCACGGCGCTAGGCTGGGCGGCTCCCCTTGACCTTTTACAGGTTACAGGGAGAGAATGAATGAATAGATGCATAACGATTCAATTGAAGGCATTGAAATCGGCGGGTGCTTTTTTCACTGGAAATCATGCCCATCGCATGTGATGCTGACTGTTAATGTCAGTCGCATGCTACTTGCTGCATCTGCTATGGCTTACCACAGTTCAATTTAGTACCTATAGGTAGTAAGAGGTCAGTACTACCACTTATAATTAAGCAATCAATTGTATGTATTTAGTTGGTGGAAGAATACCCATTACAACTTCACCAGCATGGACTGGTAGATATGCACACGTCTCCAAGGTTGCTAAACGATCCCTAATGTATTAAACGAAAAACAAATATGCTGCCCATCGCTCCCTCTCTGTATCTGTACGGTCACCCTCTATCGCAAATTACCCAATGGCCCACATGTAAGTACACAAAGTGAATCTTCCTCCTCTATACATGTCCTTTCAATCTGAATATGTGGTTGTCCAAGCCCAATCCCTCGTCCTAGTTATCCAATGCCCTAATAAAACATACGGAAAAGAATCACAGAGTAAATACTATACCGACTGCTACCCAAGTATGTCAAAAACACTGCAGAGTGCTCTCTTCTCCCCCTATATCCGCATCATCCAAACTTATCCACCCCTTCGGTCACAGTATCCAGGAGCCTTGGGTTCCGAGTTGGCCCAGCTCATAACAGTCAAGCTGGTAGTATAAGCCATGGCGATGAAGCCAAAGATACACAGTCCAATGTCAGACCACCTCCAAAGCTTGCTTCGCGCAACGGCCTTGTAGTGGAGCAGGGGCTATGGCAAGGCAAAGTCAGTAAATCATGTCCATGCAACAGATACAAGAGAGTAATTAGAGCGCAACTCACAGGATAAATGTAGACCAGCGGAATGCAGGCAAAGTTGCCCACGAGCGCAACAAACTTGTCGAGGTTGTCGGCGCCGCCCCAGGCAATGGCGGCACACAACATGACGACGAAGAAGCGGAAGATGTTCTTCTGCCACTTGATCCAGGGGTTGTACTTGCCGCTCCTAGTAAACAGCTCGGTTTCGACGATACGAATGGCGGGGAACACCTGCAGCGGCGTCGAAAGCAGGATCGCTACCGAGTAGAGGAGCTGCACCACATTGACCATGCGGTTATCCTGCGGCAGGTTGAGGAGGACGACGGTTTGCGTCTTGGAGCCGTACGCGGCGTAGGAGATGGCACCCATGACGGTGAAGAGGACGGTAATGATGATCATGACGAGGAACATGACCTTGGGGAACTTTTCCGGCTGCTTCATCGATTCCTGGATGGGGATGATGAGGCCAATGCCTTCAAAGGTAAAGATGGCCGTTCCGATAAAGAGCGTCCAGTCCCGCTGGTTGAACATGATGATGTCGGCAAGACCCTCGGCCGCAAGAGTCAAGACGTCGTAGTAGAAGAGGTAAGCAAGTCCAATCAGGATGAAGGCGTCGGCAATCAGGGCCGTGAATCCAAGCTTGCCGATATCTCTCAACAGAGAAAAGGGCAGGAAGACAACCATCTGCATGAGAATCAACATGGGGATGCTGATTGATGTCTGGCAGTCCGTCACAGCCAAGATGAAGGCTTGCAAGTTTTCCGAGGTAAACACAATGTACGCAGCAACGAATCCGACCTGGCTGAGGACGATGGAAGCCAGAATAACGGCTCGCATCCACTTTCCGTACAGAATACCACCCATGTCGCCAAACGAGCCCTCCACATTGAGTCGCGTTGTGACCAAGAGAACGAAGCAGTAGTAACTTAGCAGGGCTACACCGAGAAGAACGAGGTTGCTAAAGAGCATGCCGCCATTGAGGTAGGCGCGCGGCAAGAACAAGACACCGGTTCCGACAAAGGACTTGAGCAGCAGCAGAGCAGCGTTCATCTGGCTGTTCTGGCCGCTGCCGCCACGCACCTTTCTCCTGCGCTTCTTTTTCGAAGGGCCCAGCAGCGCGCTGTCCTCCATGGGCTCTTCGTCTTCTTCCTCGCCATTGTCCTCGCCAGATTGGAAGTACTCGTTGGGGCCGAGGACCTCGTCATCTTCTTCCAGCTCTTCACCGGCAAAATGGCCGTATATGGACAGGAATTCGAGAAAGCTGGAGGTGAATAACGGCCGGTTGCTGCCAGGGGAATCAGCGCCTCCGAAGCCATCTTCATGATGCCCAGAAGGGCTGATGACGTTTCTTCGAAGATGATTCCTTCGGAAACCACCCGGCACCTTGATGGAGTTGATGTCGAGGGTGTCGCTTTCAGGCTCGGGCCTAGAATGATCGAAACTCTTACTTCGCTGCATCCTGGTCCTGGCCTCTGCCTGCTCGGTCCACTTGTAGATCCCCCGTGTCACATCCCCACCTTGCAGACGCAGACTCGAAAACTCATCCTCGTGCAGGCCAGTAGTACCAAATCCGAAATCGGCCGTCTGCTTGCCCTTGCCAGTTTCTGATGATGCCTCTGACGTGGGGTTATCCATCTCACTGGCCTGCACCAGATGCCTCTTGATGATCTCCGGATCCTCAAATGGCACCGCGCTCTCCGCTCCAGGGCGGCCCCTCGAGTCAAAGGAGCCGTAGTTTGTCGGTGTAGCAGAGCGGCCAATGCCGGATGGGGACAGCGGACGGACCGGCGGTGTGCTGACGCGGGCTGGAGGAGTGCCATGTCGCGGCGGTGTCTGGCCCAGGGAGTCGGACAAGGCCGCGGCCAGAGCAGATACACCAGGACCTTGGGCGAAGCTTGAGCCCTCGCCAAGCGCGCCGCCTTCAGGCTTTGCGAATCCGGGGCGAGGCGAACCGCTTCTCAACATGGGAGATGAAGATCGCACCGGCTCGGCAAGCCTGGCAGTGACTTCTTCTCGGGGCAGAGACGACGAGAACGGCCGGCTGGGCGAGGACGACATTGCGACGGGGTCGGGGGCTAACCCGCTTCTTGACGGCGAAGACATTGTGATTGCGATACTGCTGTGGTGACCAGGCTCTGTCTAGCTAAAGTACAGTCGAGTCTCCTATCGCATATCGGTCTGCCGTAGAGGAAGATGCGTCGGTCTAAGAATGCCAAAGAATGCGGCCCTGATCGCGAGGGAGACTCGGTGACAAACACGAGGCAAAACACGGCAAGATAAGGTTCGGCGGCGGCCCAGAGTCGAGACTCGAAGGATAGGATGGCGATCCGAGGTCGCGCCGTACGCTGATGCTGATGCCGCTTGCGTTTAGAGATGCCCGAATTAGGAGATGAAGATGCTTGAAAAAGGAGATGAGGTTGAAGAAAAACAGAGGCAAAATGCTGGAGTGAGAAAGGATGAAAGAAGTGCAAAGCTACCTTAGTACATAGGTAATCTGTAGGTTGGCATGGATTGATTACTCCCGTCAGTGGACGAGCTGCCTGCTGCCAAAAGGTCCTGGCACTAATGACGGAGCAGCCACACTAGCCGCCTTGGCCAGCGGGAGACGTGGAGAGGTACCGGCGAGGTACCAGCGTCAAGGCGGCAGGCGGGCAGATGCGCCAGGTACAGCAACGGGTACAGGTACGTGTACAGGCACAGGGCGCGATAACGGCGCGGCAGCATTTGATCCAAATTGCACCGCCCCCAGCGCTCACAGCGGCTACGGTCTGGTGACTGGTAGGGGCTCAGCGGTGGGCCTTTAGCGGCGAGGGTCCGCTGTGACAACGAGATCGGCTCGATTTACTGCTGGACCACCTGAAGGAGCAGCTGAGGCAAAGGCCTAAATCCCACAGTCAATATTCGCACCTGGAACAATCAAACATTGGCAGTCAATCTTGTCCAATCCAGCCAGCACGCAATCGTTCATCGAGCGAATAACCAGCATCAAAGAGCCAATCAGCGAGCACCAGGCAGGACGAGGGGTCTCAGCTCAAAGGACCCTCGGCTCGACGATCCGTCAGTTGGCCGGCTTTCAGAGGCCTGGAGCTGGGCACAAGCTGCAAGGTTCGGCTTTGTTCGTACTCGCTGCTTGATAATTGTGCATGAAGCTTATCGTGAGCCCGGCTTGCGGTGGTATCCAATGACTAACAACAGCTTGGCAGATTTGAGACAGCAACGGGCATTGACCGGCACTCAATCAGAGAGGCTTGATTGCTCCGTCCGCTATCAAGGGCGAGGATCAAGAACAATGTACGAGTTCGGTCACGCTGCGAGCCGAGCCCTTGTGACGCCGTGTCGAATACGATGGAGATAGCACTGACACACGCAGCATATTGGACTTGTGCTGTACTTGCTTGGTACTAGAAGAACGTAGGGGCAGACATGTCCGTCTCCCGTCAGCGTTTGCCCCCCAAGAAATTCAATTCCCTGCCAACTTCAGCCACCAGGACCCAAGACCACGCCTCCGGATAAGAGCGGGGAGGTGCTAATTGGACGACGTTCGGTGCGCGAGCCAGTATGATTTATCACGAGGCTGGACCATGCATTCCGCTGGCTGCTGACCCTGCGTTGACTTGGTGATAACGAGCCATTATCCATCCATCCATCGGGATCGAGCCAAATGTCTATACGAAGCGGTGTCTTCTCAGGTGCCGCAGCCTGCCCGTGGGGTAGTTCAGACGTCTGGTCACGCCGAGACGCCTCAAAACTGCGTCAACACCAATACCAAAAGGCAGGCGGGACGAGCCGGTGGTCATGTTAACGACAAGTGCCGCACTAGATGAAGATGATCTCCGTACGATGGGCCTAACAATGGGGTATTAAGTACTCTTCAATACTTGCGTTCCTTTCTGCGGCATTATCATGTTGCACTCTTGGTCACCAACGACCGCCCATTGGCACCAATAACGATCAATGTGAGCATAAGGAATATTCTCTGCACTACAATGCATTGCCTGGCTCGGAATGCCGTCATGGCGCGTGATGATGGAAGCGGGGCAGCCAAGATGATCGCCGCGCATATGCGTGACAGGCTCTGCCTCTACTGGCGCGAGTATGAGATGATAAGATGAGGCTGTTACTGTTCAAAGGAAATTGGGCGGTATTTGCATTGTCGTTGCTATCCAAGCCTTAGGCTCGCGTCCATACTGGGGAATGCGGTCGGTGTTGACGACATGCTGCAGCCCTGCCGTTGCATCGAGGACAGCCATGCCTGGCTTATAACACTGACTAGGTAGCCGACGAAAAGCTCCCGACAGCGTGTTTGCAAATCAAGTTCTATCGAGTCCCGCCAGAGCCGGCTGAAGATCATCTTGCCTGCCCTGGGATGACGACCGCCTCCATCCCACCATTGCGGAGCTTACGATTCTCACCTGATCTTTGTGGTTTCCGGACGAGAGATTTATACTCGTGCTCGTACAGTATCAACGCTGAAGCTAGCCAGCTTAGCACTAAAGTCTAGCAGTAGTGCTAAGCCAGGCTCAAGTTATCCGTTCATGGCGCCAGGTCACCAATAGACAGCAAACGAGATGAAGTTTGCCTGAAGAAGCCTCAGTTCGCCCAAGCAACAAAGGCCCGATGCAATATCGTCCTTGCAAAGAGACGGATAGCCATTATGTGACAAAGCATGCATATTCACCATGCAACAAGACATCTTCAAACCTGATTTAGCGGCAGCTTTACATGCGAAATGCCAGCACGATGGCGTCGATGGCTCTCCCATTTAGCTGCCCCGCCGCAGATCCCAGAACCCTTGGCATGACGCCGGTCTTTGGTTGATGTGAACGGTATTGGTCGCCGTTATAGTTTTAGTTTCTTGCCTGGAGATTGATATTGCCGTGATCGCCATCGTAGTTTTGCTCGGGCTGCTTTGATGATCTCTCCAACAACCTTCACCAGGCGGCGGATAGCGTTCGCTACATCTGCCTCTTTCTCTTCCTTTTCCACCCCAACTTTCTGAAATTAAATGACACTTTATGCTGTGGTCGGGTTTCACACGAAAGATTAATCAAGGTACGGAGCGCGAGGAGGGAGGCTCCATGGTGTTCGTCGCCAGTGGCCTGCACTTACAAGATCGTTACGCGACATAACAAACCTCACAGCGATCATCGTATCACCCATGCCTCATCAGTCGTCGGAAAGAAAAGGATCCTTGGTAATGACCATGGAGCCTGCAAAGGTCGCTGGCAACGGCAAATTAGGCACCGTATCTGGTGTCTACATTCCCGTCTATCTCAACATCTTGAGCATCCTCATGTTCCTTCGATTTGGCCACATCTTGGGACAGATTGGTTTCATTGGCATTCTAGGTAAGCAGCAAGTAGGAAACGGGTGATTTTATGGCGCTCAGTTCCAACCAGTCTCGTCACGTCAGGTCTTCTTCTCTCCGCCTATTGTATCGATCTTCTCACTGTCCTATCGCTCTCCGCTATCGCATCTAATGGCGAAGTCAAGGGCGGAGGTGCTTATTACCTGATTTCCAGGTCTCTTGGCCCGGAATTCGGCGGCTCTATCGGCATCCTGTTCTATCTGGCCCAGGCTCTGAATACTGCCATGAACGTTGTTGGTCTCATTGACTGCATCAGACTCAACATGGGGTCTAGCTTCCCTCAGGGCTATTGGACTGGCTATGGGCTTCAGACAGCTGCTTTGATGTTATGCACGGCTCTTTGCCTACTTGGCTCTTCAACCTTTGCAAAGGCCTCGAACGCGCTGCTCATTGTTCTTACCTTTGCCATCATCAGCATTCCAGTATCTGCCATTTTCAAGGCGCCATTTGAAGACGCAGCGGCTGGGATCAAGTTTACAGGCATCAGCGTCGATACACTTATTGGAAACTTTGTGCCTCGGGTCTCTGAGAGAAGTTATGAAGGCGTCAAGACCTTCAGGGATCTCTTTGGTGTTCTCTTTCCGTGAGTACCTCCTTGCCTCTAGTATCCCCTCACGTCAGCTAATGCAGTCTATGTAAAGAGCCACTTCCGGGATATTTGCTGGGGCTTCCATGTCTGGTGATTTGCGAAATCCAAGCAAGGCCATTCCAAATGGAACACTATGGGCCACCCTTACAACATTTATTGTCTATTTTACCGTCATCCTGTCGATGGCCGCAGCCATCACTCACGAATCTTTTCTAGCCAACGATAATATCATTTCTCTGACAAGCTTATACGCCCCTATAATCTTGGCCGGCGAGTGTGCTGTTACCTTCTTTTCGGCTCTCATGGGTGTGATCGGTTCAGCCAAGTTATTCCAGGCGCTTGCCCGGGATCAGCTTCTCCCAGGGCTGTCACTCTTCGGGGAGGGATCTCGACATGGCGATGAGCCCATCTTTGCCATATTTTTAACCTACTGTATTGCTCAAGTTGCTCTTTTCGCAGACTTGAATCAAATTGCTACACTCATCTCCATGGGTTATCAGGTCAGTGCATTGGAACACCCATGCCTTGATCCTGCTCCTTATTACACTCGGTTGATAAGCTAACAAGTTGAACAGATGACATTCTTTGTCATGAACTTGGCTTGTTTCCTCTTAAAAATCGGATCTGCTCCCAATTTCAGGCCCAGTTTTCAGCTTTTCAGTGCGCAAACTGCATTCGTCGGGAGTTTCCTATCTGCAGCCGCCATGTTCTTCATCGATGAGGCGTATGCTTCAACCGCAATCTGCGCTCTCATTCTAGTGTTTTTGCTAATTCATTACCTCTGCCCACCTAAGCACTGGGGTGATGTCTCGCAAAATCTCATCTATCACCAGGTTAGAAAGTATCTATTAAGGCTAAAGCCCGAGCACATCAAGTTCTGGAGACCGCAAATCATTCTCCTCGTCAACAACCCGCGGCGGCAGACTAGGCTGATTCAGTTTTGCAATTCACTGAAGAAAGGTTCGCTTTATATCTTGGGCCACGTTATCGTGACGGACGACTTCAATAGCGGAGTCCATGAGGCGAAGCTACAACAAGCAGCTTGGACACGCTATATATCCGAATTTTCCAAGATTAAAGCATTCGTACAGCTGACTATGTCGCCATCCATAAACTGGGGCATTCGAAATCTCATTCTGTCGTCCGGTCTAGGTGGTATGCGCCCCAACATTGCCATAATGGGGTTTTACAACATGGACGACCTACGAAGATCTAGTCATCGATTAAGGGTGCCAGATATCCCAATGGCCCCTGCTTCCAAAATGAATCGCCCACCAAAATATCAGGGGAAAGCGACATCAAGGCCTCGTGGTGATACATCTGCTCGCCTACTGGAAGGGTTCTTACCTACCGATGCAATTCGTATTGAGGACATGATGTCTCCGGCAGAATACATGACGGCTTTGGAAGACTTGGCGCTGTTGTATCGGCTGAATGTAGCTGTTGCGTACGGATTTGATGATCTAGACACGCCCCGAAAGGACGAGTCCAGCACAAAGAAGTATATCGATCTATGGCCTATCCAAATGTCCGCTGAGGTTTCATCCCAGGGAAAAAATATGTTGACTTCTAATTTCGACACCTGTAGGTTTAGCCAAGTCTGTTCTCTCATGATAATCTCTCTCTTTCAGCTTTATGTATAGCTAACTTTGGACAGACACTCTCATTCTACAACTAGGTCATATTCTCCGCAGCGTCCACACTTGGAAACAAGCCTATACTATAAGAGTCATGGTTTTTGTCGAATACGAAAACGAAGTCGAAGAAGAGATGGCACGAGTCCGCGCGCTTTTAGAGAAGCTGCGTATCGACGCCGAAGTACGAGTCTTTTGGCTAGCTTGCGGCCAGTTGGACATGTATGAGCGCATCATCAACGGCAGGAGCAGCAATCTCGACTGTGAGATTATCGTCAGTGATGCGTTAAGAGATGAGGAGTGGTGGAATGATTTGGAAGACTTCCGCGGGAAAACCGAAGCCATGTCATTGAGCCAAGAGTTTACACACATGGCACATATTCTTACTTCAACCGCCGGAAGACCTGGAGTCTACAATCCACATGAAGAAATAGAGTCACGACGGAGACGCTCCAGTGTCATGAATCTTTCTGGTATACCCAAGCGGCCAAATATCGGCTCCCTAACGAAGATGGGAATCAACATCGGGATGCATACTCATCATCTGAACGAGGAGGTCTTTGAGGATTCTGATTCGGAATACGAAAGTGGCAGCGATACAGACACCATTAGCACGACAGGCTCTGTAATAGATCCATTGTCGCCAGAGATGTCATCTTCGAACCGTTCTCGGGGGCCACGAACACCTCCGGGGATACGCGGAAATGGTGCTTTCGGTCAGGCGACTAGGCCAGGATATCATGCCAACGTCAATCGCACATCTACTCCGTCGTATGGTACCATGTCAAGATCTCATGCCTTTTCACAAACTCAGAGTAGACACGATTCGGTCATCATTCCAGCATCCATGAGAATACCCGTGGTCGATTTGGACGCCACGCCACGAGCAAATAACCGACAGAGGAGCAGCTTCAAAATTGAGATTAAAAGCATAGAGTCTTTTCCAAATCTAGATCAATTGGCAATCCGTGATGCTCGCCACAATACCCTCCCTTCAAGCAGCCCTACACAATCTCCCAGCGAGCGATATTCGGGAGACGATGATACATCAACACCCCGACCAGGTCTATCGCGACAGTCATCTGCAGCCCGATTTTCTAGCCGGCCTGTTCCAGAGATGAGAATCACCACGGAAGAGGGAAGCTCGAGAATTGGCTTCGCCACCACCGATTCCTCGAGCCCGGGAACCCCTAGAACAGACCGTCCGTCGTTCTCTCGGCAGTCTTCTCTGGGCAAGTTTTCCACGCAGCCACTAGCTGAGCCGAGGAGAAACTTTGGGGGAGGTGTGCGGGCGATTTCATACACCGAGCAGCCGACGTATTATTCACGGGCAAGCACACAGTCTCGTTATCACTCTCGACGAGAATCCCAGCCTTCCAATTTTGGACAGGGAGATGTCAGCTTAGATATCCCCGAGCTTGTACAATCACATAGACTTGATGCCGAAGCGAGCCAAGAAGATGGTGCTCCTTACTCGGCACAAGGCGTTGCTTTGTCGTTCAACGACCTACCCAGTCGAGCGCAACACCTAATCCTCAACGAATTGATGCGACAGAATTCCAAACAAACGGCCGTTCTCATGAGTACATTGCCGATTCCGATTGAGGGGACGTATCTGGACAATGATAGGACGATTCAGTACCTTTCGGATGTTGAGTTGCTGTGTCATGATCTTCCACCTACTCTTTTGGTGTTGAGTAATAACATGACAGTCACAGTGAGCTTGTGATGAAAGTTCATGGGTGTTTTGTTCAGGGGTTGCGCAACGGGAATAAATTGCACTGGCATTAGCAGGCGATGAATATTTTTTTTCCAAAGGAAAATTCGTCATTATCATGATCATTCATCCAAAGTATATACATATCGCTTCTTTCTACCGGGTAGCCCACTCAAGATACGAGCGGCTTCCTGTTCATTATATACACAGCAGTTCATAAACAAAATTTTCAAAAATATAAAAGTTCACGTATCGTACCAAGAATAATGCGTTCAGTCATAAATTCTTGGATGTGTGTCATGTGTTGTAAACGGACAAAGAAATGGCAAATTGTTCAAAAAGCTCATTGTTTATAAAAGCGACCGCATGATCATCTGCCAAGAAAACAACGACTTTTTCAACATCTCGCCTCACATCCTCTCTCATCAAAACTACTTCTCTATTTAATAAGGAAAAAAAAAGATTATAGAAGAAGATGACACCAAACCCTCCTAGAAATGCCGCGCGCCCGAGAGAGAAGTCGCAAAGAATCGTCCCATACAGTAGAAAGGGAACAAGAATTCCGCATGAAGCATTACCCCGACAGGCCCCTGAAAGAAGTTTCGCACAGAGACATTCCCAGAGAAGCAGACTTCATGCGCAGAATACGGGACTGGAAGACTGGCGAAGAGCAGCCACCGATTATGCGGAACAGGAGGAGGAGCCGGAATCTTGAGATTGCGGCGGAGTGTATGAATAGGATTCGTCTGGAACTAGAGAAGATGGAGTACCAAGATAATTACGATAATCGGAGTCTGAGACAGAGACGGGGCTTTCAGGAGGAGTTGGCGTTGAATCCACGTCGTGGCGCAACAACAGAATATAGAAGAATGCCTCCAGAACATCAATATGTATCGCAGCAAACTCTTCTACCGAAAACGACTTACACGTCTCAGTCCATGACGACAACAACACAATCATGGCTAGATATATCTCCGTCGCCCGTGTCATCACCCATCGTATATACTAGTCCATCGACACAATCCTCTCCAGCACGTCCTCAAAGCCCAGCTCTACCTCCATTCGTATGCCCCCTCTGCCGCTCACAATCAAGAGACAGCCAAGACGGCCTCTGCAACTCCTGCAAAGCAGAATTCACAATGTCAACTAGTAGCAGTTTCTACGAAGACGAGGAGAGTATCTTACATTCTTCTACCTGCTTCCCCCATGGCAATCATCTTGCTACAAAGGCGCGTTGTGAGTACTCTAGTTCAGTGTACTCGAGTTCAGTGTACTCGCTGGATACGTGCTCCTCAGATGACAGGAAATCCACAGAGTCTCCCGTATTGCTGGATGATGCCGATGATCCAATGGGAGATGGAAGTTCTCAAGTACCCAATACGAGGGGGCCAGAATGTTATCAGAATCTGAATAGAGGAAAAACAGCCGAAAGGGAACAATTTGATTTATATGATCTCGACTGGGCAGATTATTATTTCGATGAAGATAACTTTGCTCTCAAAGGTGCAAGAGGAGAGCCAGGATAGTAGTTTTTACCCCTATTTAGTACGGCATCACAGTAATACCAGGAGTTATTTGGCAAAGAAAGCGTGTTTAATATATATTCCATATTCTATTTCCCCAATAAACTACATTTATATCCCGTGTCATTCCCAGTCGTCCGTCTAAAACTCTTCAAATCATCACGTCGTCTATACAAAAACCACCTCTACAATATCCTCTTAACAACCAACTCCCCCTTATCCTCACCTTCTAATTCTATCATACAGCCAGCCTCTATCCTCTTCTTCCACTTATTACTCTCGTATCGTGCCATTATCATCGTCATCCGTAATACAACGCCGTTGCTCGAAGAGTGTTCCTCAGCAGTCTCAGCAAGGGGCGTAAACGTCCATCGACCAAATGCCCAGTTCAAGATGTACCGGCCACGCGGATGGGGTTCGGGTTGCGGTACGTCTGGGTCGGAGTTTCTAGGTGTGGATGAGAGAGTAAGGACGGATTTGATGCGGTATGCCTCGTCTTTAGGAGCCGCCCTAAGAAAATTGAGCAGCGTATCCGTGGAGACGGCAGCGCCACTGTCGCCTTTGAGCTCGATTGAGAGTACTTCGACCTCGCTTTGGTGACTATGGCTGTGACCGTGGTTATGACCGTCGCCCTTCGTTTGGTGATCGTGATTATGCTCTCCGCTGACTTGGACTTCCGTCAATTCCCTGGCCAGGCCTCCATCGATACCAAACACGACACCAATGTCCACCGAACCCTTGTCACTCCTCACACGGGCCACATCGATGTCCAAGTCGCCCACTCTGTCCAGACATTCATCGTATCGGTCCTCGCCCGCAGCCTCCCACTTGTTAAACACAATCAAGTCGGTATATCGCGCCTGAATCTTTGCCGTATAGCTCGTGTCCTCGTAGCCCTTCCAATTCTCCACGTCAATGACGCTGATGACTCCGTCAAGAACATATTTGCCTGTATCTCTCGCGATTCGGTTAACCTCCAGCGCCAGGGTGGCCGGGAACGCAGATCCGCTCGTCTCGATGATGATGCGATCTGGTACGACAGTCTTTTCGAGTTCTCCAAGCGCAGGGCCCAGCTGGCCTACGAGATTGCAGCAAATGCATCCGTTGAGCAATTCTTGGACGCCGGAGATGGCTGAGCTGGAGGCCAGCTGGGAGTCTACCGCGAGGTCGCCGAATTCATTCTTTAGCAAGGCGAGTTTGTACGAGGGATTCTGGGCGCGGAGTTGGGGGATGAGGTTGAGGATGAGGGTCGTCTTGCCAGAGCCCAGGAATCCGGTGACGATGGTAATAGGAATTGGGGCGATTTGCGAACCCATTGCCGAAGAAGGTGGGTATATCGTGTGTCTATATCGAATCAAACAAATAAAATTTTATAACAATAGACAGAATGAAAGAAAAAAAGAAACCGAGTGTTCAATCACCAGTTTGGTGTCTTTGGGGGGAATATCGCGGCTTGTCAATCATCACATGGAAGAGGAAACGGATGATTTCCAATGGATTCAACGCTTATCTTATCGGCGCCGTTCGCGGACCCCCCGAAAGCCTTAGCAGCAGCGCTAAAGCCAGCCGCTATAATTCCCGACAGCAGCAGGCCAAGACCTCTGTAACTCCTCCGCTGTTCCACTGCTGTTGTCACTGATCTACAGTACACCCAGCCAAAGTCTCAATCTTGACGTCACATTTCGCTGTAAGATCGAAAGTCTAAAGCGCCAGCCATGACATCGTTTAAAGAATCAAAGGTCGGCAAAGTCGCAATCGATGTTACGACTTCTAGCCTATATTTGATCTTCATTCTCTACGGTGTTCTCAGAGACCAATACGACAAAGTCAACTACATGATGAGCTCCCCCAAGAAGAACGACAACAACAACAACCTCCCGGAGGCACCACCGCCGCCGACATTCAAGGAGCAGCTCGACAAGGAGGCAATTGACAGCCGAGTTCACCAACATGAGAGCGAAGGGAACTCGACAGTGAAGGCTGTTGTCGATAAGAGTGAGTTTTGTCTCTTTTTTTTTTTTTGTCCTCAACATGACGGATTGGATGTGTGAAGAGCCACAAGACGATGGCTTTTCGATTTACATCTGACATCTAAAGCTAACATGCACGCGACAGTATCGCATGCCATTCCTGCTGTCGCCCCTCTCATCGGCGGATCAAATCCAGACAACAAGGTGGAGGAGAATAAAGAAGTGCCTCCCGGGCCTCCTAATCGACCAGAGCATGATACCCAGATTGAAGAGTTTGTGAGGGACCAGCATCGAAGCAATGGCATCGAGAATCTGAGCGAGGGAAAGTCGTGATGGATTAATCCACGCTCTCAGTTCGGCATACTTCCTTCATGTACCAATAGCCATCAAGCTTTTGCTTTTCTTGCTTTAATACAGTGAAACCTGCAGCTACTACGCAGGCTCTTTACAGATAATTCGAGACTTTTGCGTCATAGATGATGACTTCGTGCTACCAGACATTTCTGCCCTTCACTCGCACTCAACCCATCACGGGCACAATTCCCCCAAAGAATCGCAAGGCACTACACGATGCGAGGCAGCCAATTTCCCAGCTGGACCGAAAGAAAGAAAAACATCCGAGGAACTTCAAATCATCCCAACAAACACATCTGTTTGGCAGCTGATAAAATTGCACAGCCCCTCTTCAGCTTTTCAGCTCTTCAGCCGCACTTTAGCACTACAGCAAGGGCGCATGTATAACACGAACGCACACAAAAAAGGAAAAATTAATCCCGAGCTTTGGAGAAAAAGCTGGCATGTCCCCCCTTCTTGGCGTCTACCGCCCACTGATTGAAAAAACGTAGCGGCAGACTTCCTATATCCAAGGGTTTTACTCTTCTGAGCGTTTCCCACGAGGGGAAAGGCAACGCAACACCGTGGGTTAGCTGGGTGAGGGTCGTGGCAGCTCAGTTGGCTTTTTGATAAAGAAAGAAAAGAAGAAGAAAAATTCAAAAAGGTTGGCTGCCGATGGCTGCTTAAAAGGGCTGCGGCAGGGTGGGGCGATGGGAAGCTGAGTGGATGACTCAGCAGCATTTTTTTGCAGTGAAGAAACTGCCAGAAGTATGTACCAAAGTATCCATTCTGGAAGTGTTAGACTGAGGTATTGGCATGCTCAGATATACAATGGAGTTGACATTGAGCAAGGTAACAGAAATTTTCACAACGAAGAGGATATTGTATTGAGATTAATCGTATTAAACTTGATAAAGAAATCTATCGTAAATATACGCAGAGCAGGGCTATCATGTCATCATCAAAACGCCAACCTTGTAATCATCCTCATGCTGCTCTAAGGCCCTTCCCCAAGAGTTCACTTCCCACCTCTTTAACCAATGCTTCCTTTGGAAAGGCCTTCTTCTTTGCCAGTACTGTTCCCTCGGCATCCAAAGCTCGAAGGAGATCAGCCAGCTCTCCTTGAAGATTTGTAAAGTAGACCAGGTGACCTAACGCAGAGAGCATGCCCTGAAGAGCTTCCGCTGATGTCTCTTCCTGAGCGATTGCCTCTACGACAGATGCCGCAAGCTCGATAAGATCCTCATCTGGTAGACTTGGTTTAGCCTCCCCCAGTCTTGATCTACGGTCCGTCAGGGCGATGTTGAATAAAAGAGACGAGGCCGCCACCCGAGTATTGCTGTGGCCATCGTCGAGGAAGCTGGTTGATATCAATCGGGTGATTGGTGCCCGAAGGTGCTCGTTCCGCAAGATTTCGTCTGGGAACAAGGGGGTGGAGAAGAAATTGCATGCCATCTGCAAAGTGACAAGACGCAGGGCGTATGGGCACTCGCTCTGTTCGTTGACGGCATTGAGGATGCTCACAACTGTCCTGTGTGCCGTCTCTTCGGCAAAATACCCACTGACTCGAGGGTCCAGAAGAGCACACCGGAAGAGATCAACAACGGTAAACAGTGTGTCGATAGGCAGCTTGACAACTAACTCCTGAAGGAAACTAGCCATGTGTCCCATGTTTGGCAGCACCGCATCCAGAGCCTCGCCCTTGGTGCGGTCTTCGATGAATCTTCTCAGGTGCTGAACCTCGGGCCTGCTCGAAATCTCCGCCCCCATCTTAGCCATCAGTTTCTGCATCGGCGGCACTTTTCCAAATAATACAGGCTTCGAATTGGGGTTGGCAAATGTGGGAAGCCGCAGCTTCTCATGGGGGTGGCTGGGATGTGCCATCTGTACCAGCAGCTGGACATTCCCCCGGAGAGCAGCCTGGTCAGCACCAGACCATCTATTCTCCTGCTCGCCCTTGAGGAAAGTAACGAATGTGGGTGTTGCGCTGATCGAGTATTGACTGGCAACCAAGCTGGTCTGTGGTTGCGCAATGTCAATCTTGATCAAGGTTGCTTTGCCGGCAAATTCCTCGGCTAGCTGATCGTACAAGGGATACAGCATCTTGCACGGGGCACAAGTCGCAGAAGTAAAGTAGACAACCGCACAGGACATCTTCGCTTGATCCAAGAGGGTTGATAGCTCCGACTGGCCAGTCACATTCTTGACAGATGAGGCGGCCTTGGCGGGTGCCATGGGTTGGGAACTCTGCTGCAGTCCCAGGATGGAGCCGGTTTGTCTACTGGCATTGACGCCTTGGGTAAGCTGAGGCATGAGCATGCGCCCAAATGGCGAGTCAAGGACTGCCTGTGGCATTTGTGCGATGCGGCTTGGGATACCCTTGCCGAGGAGGAAGTTTGAGAATGCATCTGTGAAGTTGTTGCAGTTGTGACGGAACAGATCGTATGCCTATTGCTGGGAGTAAGCCGCCGCTTGTTCATATGAGTTGCAGCTGAACATGTCTTCATACCTCTATCGTGAAAATCGATCGTATTGACTCTAGATAGTCCCCAATCACGTCCATGGGGAGGTTTGTCTTGCCGAGGTGGAGCCTCTCCAAAGGCTGGCCCAGGTGCGAGGAGCCCGGGACGATGGAGATGATGCCTCCGTCGTAGACATATTCACGGCCCTGGAGCTCGATAGAGGTGTGATAGATGGCATCGAGCTGGAATCCCAGGAGTCCCATGGACATCTGGCGGGCTAAGCCGCGAGACAAGTCGTATACAAGGAGGTGCACGTCCATCTTGTGCTGGTGTACTTGATGCCTGAGCGTGATGATTAATCGCCGAGCAAACGATAGTAGGCTGCAATTTCAAAGTGGTGTATTTCGAAAACTTCCGAATATGATGCGATGGATATTTGGTATCTAACGGCGGGATATGGTGATGAGTGTGAGTTTATAGGACAGGGCTGAGTTGAGCCGACGTCAGATGGATATATATTAGATATCAAGGCAGCAGATGACATACGAATCGACGAAGCTTCCAGCTACAGCGGACTTTGGCACAAACAACTCCGCTAGGTTAAATCCGAAACCTCTGACAGATGCTGAATCGATGGCGGCAAGCACGGTGCGCAATAAATTGTTCGCTGGTTTCAACAGGATGAAATCTCGAGTTTGAATCAACGTTTCTCAGATCTGCCTTGAATCTTCATCTCCATCACATTCTCATCCTGCCACCTGGTAAAATGCCCTCGGCACTTACCCTGCAGCGCTCCGCTGAAACCCAGCGCTTCAGGCCTAAGGCGACCCACTGACGCACCATCCAGGGGGGGCAAATCGCTTCGAGACGCTCGATTTCAGGGGCTGTGGAATGTGGCGAATGGCTCGTCAATCTTGGGCCACGAAATGCTTGTCGCCGGTTGTGGATGTTCCAAGTACCCCTCCATACAGATTGCCGTGATAAGGTACTTGGTGCCTTGCCTTGTTCCCCTCCACACACGCCCCCGGAAGAAGTTTGTTTGGCTGGAACTCCTTTTTTCCCAGTCCCAATCATTTCCACCTAAATTAATGAAACCTTGTGCCGTTGTTGGTCCCGCAATCCAACTGTTCTTCACTCACTCTTGTCTTTCCTTTTTATCCTTGTGCTATTTAATGCGTTGCGGCGTCTCTCTTTGATCGCCCCGCGACCTGATGAGGAGAACTTCAGTGTCGCTGCCCACCAAGCACGCTGCCCACGACCCCCACGAGAAGACTGATCGATACTACCCGAGTCATCGAAACCAAGGCCTCTTGTCCAGCATGAAAGAAACCATGCTGTCTCAGTCGCAGAAGTCGCGGTGGCTGAAGACGGGCGCGCTGGTCCTGATCTTGATGTGCCTGTTCTACTGGCTGTCGCCCACCGGTGTCGAGGTCTACAACAAGAGCCCTCTGGGCGAAGGCTCTACGAACAACAATAACGTTCCCGCTACCAACGCTGCTCCCGCCGCCAACCATGGTGCTGCCGCTGCTGGCAACGGCGCGCCCAATAGTGGCCAGGCTCCCGCCGACTCTTCTTACGGCACCGACAAGTGCTCCAAGTCCTACTCCAAGGACAAGCCCATCGTTCAGTATGTCCTCATGATCGACGCCGGCAGCACTGGCTCGCGGATCCACGTCTACAAGTTCAACAACTGCGGTCCCATCCCCGAGCTCGAGAAGGAGGAGTTCAAGATGACTGAAAAGTCCGTCGGTGGCCTGAGCGCTTTCAAGAACGACCCCGTTGCTGCTGCCAAGAGTCTCGATCCCTTGATGGCCGTGGCCATGGAACACGTCCCCGATCAGCTCAAGAAGTGCTCTCCCGTTGCTGTCAAGGCCACCGCCGGTCTGCGTCTGATTGGCAAGGAGCTCGCCGACGCCATCTTGGCCGAGGTCAGACGACACCTGGAGCAGGACTATCCCTTCCCTGTCGTGGCTGCTGAGCAAAACGGAGTTGCCATCATGGACGGTTCGGACGAGGGTGTGTATGCCTGGATCACCACCAACTACCTCCTCGGCAAGATTGGCGGCCCAGACAAGAGCGAGACTGCTGCTGTCTTCGATCTCGGCGGTGGCTCAACCCAGATTGTCTTCGAGCCTACCTTTAAGGGAGCTCCGGACGGAGGCATGCCCGAGAAGCTGGCTCCTGGTGATCACAAGTATGAGCTCGACTTTGGCGGCCACAAATTCGACCTGTACCAGCACTCTCATCTTGGCTACGGCTTGATGTCTGCTCGCAAGGCTCTCCACTCCGCCTTGATTGACGAGTTGGTCAAGGTCAAGGGCGAAGACCAAACCTGGATGAACTCACCCATTGTGCACCCCTGCATCGCCCCCGGCACCACAAAGGCGATCGACGTCGAGGTCAACGGCGGCGAGGCGCGCTCCTTCAACTTCACCGGTCCTTCCCAGCCCTCCCCGGCCCAATGCCGCAACATTGCCGAGAAGATCTTGAAGAAGGACGCTGACTGCACACTCGCCCCTTGCTCCTTCAACGGTGTTCACCAACCCGCCCTGGCCAAGACCTTTGCCAAAGAGGACGTCTACATCTTCTCATACTTCTACGACCGCACCAAGCCCCTTGGCATGCCCGACTCCTTCACTCTCCGCGAGATGCACGATCTCACTCAAAAGGTCTGCGCCGGTAAGGAGGCCTGGGACGTCTTTTCCAGCGTCCCTGGTGCGCTGGAGGAGCTTGAGGACCGACCCGAGCACTGCCTGGATTTGAACTTTATGATGGCTTTGCTGCACACCGGATATGAGATGCCCATTGACCGCGAGGTCAAGGTTGCCAAGAAGATTAAGGGTAATGAGCTGGGCTGGTGTCTTGGAGCTAGGTAAGACGACGATTTACTTTTCTGATGATGCAGTTTTGGCGTGTATTTGCTAACCATTTCCCTCTTTTTTAGTCTGCCGCTTTTGGCTCCCGGCTCGGGCTGGTCATGCAAGATCAAGGAGGTTTCGTAAAGGGCGTTTTATGAATCAAACGGTTCATGATATTTAATTGTAATGTGCTTCTAGAATCGGTTATTTTACATCGTCAAGCATATTATCCATTGTATGACATGTTACGCTGTTAGGGAGGGCATCTGGATTGGGTGTAGCATATTTAATGTGGTGTCGATGCTATCTGGAATCTGAGATTCTACCTATATTATGTATACTTGGGAAACTACTAAGGGGGCTTGTCTTTTTCGATTGGCGACAAGCCGGCTCGGGTTGAAAGAATCAACATGGAGCAAAATACAAGTTTTTTTTTTCTTTTTCACAAAGGCGCCGTAACCATTTCCAAAACCTCTTCCATCACTTCCTCGGGACCTACATCTTCGAGCAGCGCTTCTACCGCCTCGAGTTGGCTCCCCCATTGCATACTTCTCTCCTTTTCAGGCTCGGTGATGCGTATACGGTGGAGATAGACTTTTCTCACGGCTAGCCCGACCAAAGCAGGCGTCACGAAATCAAGCTTATGCAAAGGGGCAAGACTTTTGACAAGCTGGTGGAGATGTTTGGTTGCCGCAGGCGTGATACCACCTGCGACTGCTCGGTGCATGCGAAGGAAAGAGACAATGTTCATCTGGTATCGGAGGATATCGACATCGATTTGGACTTCTTGGCTTAGCTTTGCGAGTTGGCTGATTTCCTGAGGGTTGCCTGTAAATAACGATGCCAGAACTCAGGGGTTCGCGACCATGACTTACAATATCTGATATCAAGGCCGTCGATGGCGTCGTATCATTTGACGCCTTCTTCACAACGCTCTCTGTAGATGCCGTCTCATCGTCATCCTTGTTGCGACTTTCAACCTCATCTAAATTGACATACCCATCTTCCGGGTTGTGCCAATGCGCAACCGAGAAGAAGTCATTGAGATGCGCCGTCACGTGTGCTTCACCACCGCTTGCGGCCCCCAAGACGGGGATAAAGACAAACTGCTTCGGCGCCGCCTGTACCGATGTGCGAGTGAAGATGCGTCGCGTGCGCAGTAATTCGAGCGCCTGGATCTGGACGACTCGCGGGGCACGGTCGAGGTTCTTTGCGATGACAAAGTGGGCGATCTGCGGAGGAGAAAGGAAAGTACGGGGGCTGAGCGGTGTAGATGACCGGTGGTTCGAATGCGAGTTGAGAGCAAAATACGAATCGTTTCGGGAGAAGGGCGAGATGGCCGGGGAGGCAGAGTTGAGGGGAGGCTGCTGAGGCTGGAGAAGCAGAGCCGAGGCGAAATCCTCGAGTGTCGTGGACGGGTGGCAGTTGACGACGACGGATTTGAGACTGTATGTCTTGCTCGCTATCTGCACGTGCGTTCTGTGTCAGCTATTGAAACAATGGAAGACAAGGCTGTGTATATAAAGAGTCGCATACCAGCTGAAGCTCTTGCACCAAGTCATCAATGGTTGCCGGCGGAGTGCTAATCAGGACGTGCTCTCGATTAACTAGACACAGCAGCACGGCCAGCTCCAGGTCGCTGAGGCTGTGAACCTTTTCCAGCAGATCGTCATCCGCCATGGCAAAGCGCCGGGAGCTGTGCCAGGGCCATCAGCGCGAATTGCAGTATGTAGAAGCACAGGATCAATGCAGATGTTGAGGAGGAAGCTATTGGATCCTTCTTTGTTTGGTGACATGGAAGCGATATGAGATGGGATGCCAGGGAGTGCATGTACCTTTGCCTCAGGACAACTGCGTAGAGGTACCTCATCACGTGCGAGCATCTGGATGACTTAATTATGGGCAGCGTCATGCGGAGGCTACATTTATGCATGGGGCTAAGCTGCAAACGGCCTACCGCGGTTGCGACACCGATATCTGGGCGCCTAGCAAGTTCTAGGTACCTACTAATAGGTACCGTTGGGTGGGCGCTAAATCGCTGCCCGCCATCAACAATCCAAAGCAAAAGCCAGCCTCGTCATTGAAGCCTCAAAAGTACAGGCAGCCAGCATTTCCAGGTCTCGTGACGCCGGCGACTCTGGTTTCTTCCATCACACAGCCGGACACTCTTTTTTCGACATCCGCCATCATCTTTCTGCCAACAGCAGCTCCCGGAGAAGGCCCCTTCGCTCGCGGCGGCTGTGCTTTTGGCTCATATCCATCACGTCATTGGAGCGCCGAGTGTACGACGATAACCAGTCAAGATGTCTTCGCGCAACAAGAAGGTCCTTCTCAAGGTATGGGGGCTCCGCCACCGGTGCTGCGCTGCGTGAGAGCGATGCTGAAGTTGCTTTGTTTGATAGGTCATCATCCTTGGAGATAGCGGTGTGGGCAAGACGAGTTTGATGAACCAATACGTAAGCCGTGATCCTGCCACGACTCCGATCCATCGCTGAGGCACGCGACGGCTAATGGGCGAAATGATGTTTGGAAATATTAGGTCAACAAGAAGTTCAGCGCAAGCTACAAGGCGACCATCGGCGCTGATTTCTTAACGCGAGAGGTCCTGGTGGACGACCGACAAGTCACCATGCAGGTATGAGGTGTTTGAGGATAGACAAGGGTCGTGGGTTCAAGGGATGCTAATGATCCGCACAGCTCTGGGATACAGCCGGACAAGAGCGATTCCAGTCTCTGGGCGTCGCATTCTACAGAGGAGCCGACTGCTGCGTTCTGGTGTACGATGTCAACAACTCCAAGAGCTTCGAGGCGCTGGACAGCTGGCGAGACGAGTTCCTGATCCAGGCTTCTCCGCGGGATCCCCCCAACTTCCCCTTTGTAAGTGTGACGGCTGCGGCTGCTCTTAAGCTGGACGCTCTGGCTGATGATTTTACAGGTTGTTCTTGGAAACAAGATTGATGTGGAGGAGAGCAAACGAGTGGTAAGGGAATAAATGCCCTTTTGTTCATATGCACAAGAGAGCATGGGTGGCTGATGCAGACTAGATTTCGACCAAGCGAGCCATGACGTTCTGCCAATCCAAGGGCGACATCCCATACTTTGAGACGAGTGCAAAGGAGGCCATCAACATTGACCAAGCATTTGAAGGTACGGGAAGACTACGGATCGACGGAAAAGTAAAAGAAGACGATGGGCTAACAATTGGCAGTTATTGCTCGAAATGCTTTGGCTCAAGAAGAGTCTGAGGAATACAGCGGCGACTTTGACGACCCCATCAACATCCACATCGACAACGATCGCGACGGCTGTGCTTGCTAAGCGGAGAAGGACGACAGATAATTGGATGATACGAGACTGGTCAGAGAATGAGCGTGAACAACCAGAAACAGCATACCCGGTCCTCGAGCTGATGCATTTTCTTGTCCGGAAGTAGAGTACCTATGGAGAAACGAGGCCATGTTGGTGTTTTGTGCGGAAAGTAATATCTTCTTTTTTTTATTCCTTTTTTTTTCTTTTTTGTGTCTGGGTTGATTTTCTTGATTTTCTTTTCTTCTTTGGTTGCTGGGATGGGAGACGCTTGCAATTGCTCAAGATGGTGGTGCGATGGCAAAGCCGTAGCCTCGGCTCCGACTAGTGGCTATGGCTACGGTAGAGAAGAGAGGGGGAAGAGGAGAGCTTTTGATACGGTCATCTCATACATCACCTTGTCAAGGGATTATGGGGCTATAGATTCTATGCGTAGCTGGGAGCAATCCCACGCTATGGGACTTGATTATACGGTTTGCCTCTTTAGCCATTGACCAATTGTGCTTGTATACGGAGTAGATTTGGAATCAATTACACGATGCTGCTGCCCACTAACGGTCTCGCTGTAGCAGCCAACAGTCACCCGCTAAACAGCTGCAGATACAGCGCTCCAGGCAGTCGCCAGCAGTGTCGGTGAAGCCCCACTCTGCACCTCGGCTTGCGGCTTACCCCAGAATCTCTCCGCGAATCGTGGCCCGACGGCGTTTACTTTCCGCCTCGGCTCCCGTCATGGCTCGAGATAAATATCAGACCATTGCAGCGTCTTTGGTGATCTGACAGCTTCACGTTTTTTTTGCGGAGAAGTCGGGCCCAAGTTTTCCTTGTAAACTTTGTAAACTTTGTACTCTTCTTCTTCTATTTCTCTCTCTACCTACCTAGTGTGCTAGCTCGGTACATTATTCGCCATCATGTCGGCTCGAATCCCAGCTCTTGTAAGCTATCGAAAGCTCGCTCTCCTGCTTGATCTTTCGTTGGCATTGGACTGCCGAGGATGATAAATACATGGACTAACGAACCGTGATTGATCATCATAGGTTTCAGCACACGTCAGCGAGGCGGCACGACAAAAGATTGATATTGTCGCCAAGTTTGTCGAGGAAGAATGCATCCCGTGAGGCCCCTCGGAACGAGTCTCGACAATCCCATACCATCGGTGCCGACGAGCTAACAGGTGTCGACAGCGCCGATCCCGTGCTTGAAGCTCAGGTTGGCGAGGGCGATGCCCGCTGGGAGAACCACCCGTCCATCATCGAGGAGCTCAAGGACAAGGCACGCAAGCTGGGCTTGTGGAACATGTTCCTGCCCAAGGGCTTCTACGCCGAGTCTCCCGGCTGGACCAACCTCGAGTATGCCCTCATGGCAGAGTGGCTGGGCCGCTCGCGCAGCGCCTCGGAGGCGTGCAACTGCGCCGCCCCCGACACGGGCAACATGGAGGTGGTGGCCAAGTACGGCAATGCCGCGCAGAAGGAGGAGTGGCTGAAGCCCCTGATGGAGGGCAAGATTCGCTCGGCCTTCCTCATGACTGAGCCCGAGGTCGCGTCGTCGGATGCCACCAACATTCAGCTCCAAATCACTCGCGACGGCGACCACTACGTCCTCAATGGCTCCAAGTGGTGGTCCAGCGGTGCCGGCGACCCTCGCTGCAAGCTCTACATCGTCATGGGCAAGACTGATGCCAACAACGCCGACCCTTACAAGCAGCAGTCGGTCATCTTGGTCCCTGCTGGTCTGCCCGGCATCACCATCAAGAGGATGCTCAAGGTCTACGGCTACGACGACGCCCCCCACGGCCACGGCCACATCACCTTCAACAACGTGCGTGTTCCGGCCAAGAACCTGGTGCTCGGCGAGGGCCGCGGATTCGAGATTATCCAGGGCCGACTGGGGCCTGGACGTATTCACCACGCCATGCGCAGCATTGGTGCTGTAAGTTGCTGCTGCTACAGACAGATCAAACTCCTTTACTAATCCACTGTTTCCATAGGCTGAGCAAGCTCTCGACTGGATGCTCACACGCGTCAACGACGAAACCAAGAAGCCTTTCGGCAAGCTGCTGCGCGAACACGGCGTCATCCTCGAATGGATTGCCAAGTCGCGCATCGAAATCGATGCAGCACGCCTCATCGTCCTCAACGCCGCCGTCAAGATGGACCAGGAGGGCCCCAAGAAGGCTCTCACGGAGATTGCCGAGGCCAAGGTCCTCATTCCCCAGACGGCTCTGACCGTCATCGACCGCGCCGTCCAGGCCTACGGCGGTGCTGGTGTCTCTCAGGAGACTCCCCTGGCCTACTTGTGGGCTGGCATCCGAACGCTTCGTCTGGCTGACGGCCCTGATGAGGTGCATCTGCAGCAGATGGGTCGCAACGAGAACAAGCGCGGCAAGGAGACGGCGGCCAAGCTCAAGTGGCAGAAGGCCAAGACGGCGGAGCTGCTGAAGAGGTACGGCGTTGAGCTTGCCGAACCTGGCACCAGAATCAAGCACGCTGCCAAGTTGTGATGAAAGAATGGCTGGTCTGTTTAGATTGTCTTGTTTTGATCTGTCATTTGGCTTGTAAAATACGGGAGCTAGGGTAATCTCGAGATGCTGCGTCGCAAATAGCGTATATATTGTTATAACACACTTGATAAAGGATGTCCGATGCACCTGTGCCTGATTCATGGGATGCATTATCGTCAAGTGTCCAGTAGCATCTCTTTCTTCTCGCTTTCAACCTTGTCAACTCCCTACAAACAACTCATCTCTAACACGCCATTATACCAACCACAACACCAGCACTTTAGTCTTTATTCACATGCCCACGACTCACAAACCCACCAATCACCCCTTGTTAATCCCCGAAAACGAGTCTTTGTTTCTTCCCACCTTCTCAAACCACTCCCCAGTCTTCATACCAAAATCCCATTCTTAGTTCCGGGTAAAACTGAAGCCAAGAGCCTCTTCCTCCCAGCTGGTTGGCCAACAAGTGTCGTTGCCGACTCCACAGCGGATTTCGTGCATACCAAAGGAACATTCAAGTCAAAGGTGGCAAAACGCCGTTGCCCAGCCAACGTCCGTCATTCGTTTACTTCTTTTTTTTCCCTACTCCCGATTGCGTGAATGAATTCGGCGGACGTCATATTTCTTTTACCCCTTGTTTATCTCTGTAAACTAGCCTGAATAGCTGACACTTGCATTTCTGGAACGTTTACAAAAAAGGCTGCTTCCCCCTGCCTTTTTTTTTTTTTACTTTTCCTGCGGTGTGTGACATTCACGGTTGATTTGTTGCAACACAAACTCTCTTCTTATCCACCACAACCAACAACCTAACTTGCACACAACACCACTGCTAAACCTACACTGACGACACAGAGACAAAGACAAAAACCACAATGTCGAGCAACAAGATCCTCGGTGACAGAGACGTCAACGCCGCTCTAGCCGATGGCCAGCCTCTCGGCAAGGACGTCAAGAACATGGAGTACCATCGCCAGGTGCTCCAGTCCAGGATTGCTCAGGAGCCGTATGTCACTGTCACCAACCCGTCTCTGCCTCTTCACTATTCCCCTTGCATCCTTTTGCTGACATCTTTCTTGTATCGTACAGAGGAAAACAATACGTCTCCCCCTCCGATACCATCATGAGCCCCTGCACAGCAAAGCTCTCCGCGCTGCGCAGCAAGCAAGTCACCAAGTATGTCCCGCCCCCTCAAACCTTGATCTTCAACGCCGCAATCTCCACGAAATCAATATATAAAAAAAAAAAAAAAAAAAAAAAAAAAGACTGACAAATTCTGTGTCTATCAAGGGCTAAACCAAAGTCTCTTTTCGCTCAGGCGAGCTCCAAGAAGCTCAACGACGAGAACCTCTTCGGCACAAGGCCCGCTCAGCTCGACAACCCTCTTGGTGCTAGAAGCGTCAAGACCGAGCGCACGTTGACCTCGCGACTTCGCTGATCTGGGGGGCCTTGTGTGTCCCTTTTATATTCATTTTTTTTAATACGGCTTCGTCGGTCTCGGGATATTTCTTTTGTACATTAACGACTGCCTCCTTTTTTTTTTAAACGCTCTCGTCATGATTAGAGACGGGCGGAAGCAACTTGGTAATGAATAGGTTGGGCAAGACCTCGGAACTAAAGGTTAGAGGCTATCGCGGGAAACTTTTGGGGGTTTTCAGGGGCTTTGGCGTTTTCCGGATTACGTGCTACGTATCGAGTACGTGCCCTGTTGTGGTGATGCCGGAAAGGGTCGACACGAACATTTTCATCTTTATTTTATGCTTTTAATTGCCGTGGCTGAGAAATACAGCTACTAAGCGGTAGCTGAGCAAAGACTTTCATGGAAGCAATTCATCAATTACACCCCATCCCGATTGGGGAGTGAATGAAAAAAGGCTTTGTTGACTGTATGGTTTTCTTTTGTGCTACTATGCTTTCCACGCCGTCACAATGTACACGACATCTTCATCCGCAACGGGATGCCCTAATCCCACTCTCTGAGGTATGTGTCTCGCGCTGGCGCCCCAAACAAGGGCGTACTTGAACGTGTCCTTTAGCGTACGATGGATCCTGTCGCACACGTCCTCAATGGTGCTGTTACTCCGCACAATCAAGGCCTCGCTAAAGTCTGGGTCGGTGCCCTTTCGCTTGGTGTAAATGCGAATCAGCTTGAGCTCCTTCCAGCACCTGTCGATGACGTCTTGGATGCCAAGGTCCAGCTCACAGCTCATGACGACTGTGTGATCTTCCCTGGCGAGCTTGTCGAGAAAGTCGAGCGAGACGCTGTCAATCTTGTTGTAGACGTACAGGCACTTGATATACTTGCGGTGGTCCTTCATGATGATGTCGATGAGGTCGTCAACGGTGGCCTCTGGGTCCCGGATGAGCACTTCGCAGTTGAGGATTTTGTAGTCGCGGAGGATGTTGAAGACCATCTTCTCGTCCAGCCTGTTGGGTGGAGATTGAAACGTGATCTTCATGCCACCTGCTGTTTTGACTTTGAGATAGATGTTTCTTCATCTTTTGTTAGCTGGTGGGACATGGCGTGCAAACAGCATCTCCTTCTACTTACGGGGGCTCGCGATTCAACCTGATGCCAACAGCTTCCAGTTCTGCCTCTAGCAGAGCTCTTTGCTCAGCTCGCTTCGTTGCGTCTAGGATCATGAGAATCAGATCGCTCGTCTTGGCAGCTGAAATAACCTGTCGGCCTCGTCCCTTGCCCTCGGAGGCACCCTCGATAATACCTGGCAGATCGAGCAGCTGAATTTCAGCACCGCCGTATTCCAGCACTCCGGGGATGGCTGTGAGGGTTGTGAATGCATATGAGGCTACTTCGGATCGGGTCTTGGTGACTTTGGATAAAAACGTCGACTTTCCTACGGAGGGAAAGCCAACTAGAGATATTCGGGCATCACCACTTTTGCTCACGTCGAACCCAGAGCCACCACCACCACCGGCTCCAGGCCCTGGCTCTAGTAGCTGTGCTCGGAGACGTGCGAGCTTTCTGGTCAAGTTAGGGGTGGTTTAAGCACAAAGGCTGATTTGACTTGACTCACCCTTTCAAGAGACCCAAATGGTATTCTGACCTTTTGTCAGCCGTGGTCAATCAAAAGATATCAATCAGATACATACCAGTCGCCTTGTTTTCTATGATCATGGTTAGCTAGACTGTATGAAAAACGTGATAAAAAGTGAATTGGTGTTGTATTAAATGGTGACCAGGCAGGTTATGGGGAAGGGTTGAAGGTTTACACAAGCGATGAGATACTCGACAGGCCAACAGGATGTGATTTGAATACATGCATTGCGATTACATATATCGAGTGGCCCGTCCCAAACTCATGGTGGCTAGCCTGCCGAGCACATCAATCGTCTTCACGAGAATACCATATTCATGCCATTCAACCATTTCCGCAAGTGAAAAGGAATATGCATGCGTAATGCCGCTTATACGGCACCCTCATGAAGCCAAGGTGTGCTATAGCGACACGTGGAGTGTTTGGGAGATGGTAAAGACATTGAATTTGTAACAGATATTCCATGGATTTACTTACTCTGTGTTTTTCTCATCTCCTCCTCGATCCTGAACATGTCATCAGCCGTAGTCTCTCATAACGTACCCAGCCCTACTCACTCCTTGATCTTTTCTGTAATGTTCACCATCTCGACACAAGTTCTTTATAGACGGCAACACCGTCTTCTTATATATAAGAGTAAAAGAAAAGAAAAAAAAGGGGTATCTGTCTACTTAGAGACGTATCGTCAAGCCCCTTGGAAGAGCAGCTTTGAAGTTCGACTTGAGATTTGAGATGGCGGGGCTCTGGCAATTGCAGCAAAAGGTTTAGGAGGGGCCCTTTAGCTGTGGAACCCGGATTGCACTAGCCTCACCGCCTGCCCTTTTCGCCACTGTCTTTCTACAGCCTTGCCCGGCGCGTCGAGCTGGACAAAATTGCTGCATCAAGCTTCAACTCGTCATCGCAACAAAAATTAACGTTCGTCCTTCGCTTTACCGAATCATGGCGGATCAACAAGAAGACGGTGTCGCAATGGCTCCAGCAGCCGACGAAGAGACTCAGAACATGGCTGTTACAATGACGAACAGCGAGGTCGCGGCTCCTACCGAGAAAAAGGTCGTCAAGAAGATCATCCGCAGGAAGAGGAGGCCAGCCAGGCCGCAAGTCGAACCGGATTTCTTCACCAACGAGCCTCCACCGCAGACGGGTACTACTTTCAACATTTGGTGAGTAATAAGGCATTGCGACCCCCCGGTTACGTGGTAGAACGGTAGCTGATACCGACCAGGTATAACAAATGGGCGGGTGGCGACCACGAGGCATACCAGCAGACGAAATCCAAGGGGCGCTGCAACGTCGCTCGCGACAGCGGATACACGAAAGCCGACGGCGTGTCGGGAAGCTATTTCTGCCTGTTCTTCGCAAGAGGATTGTGTCCGCGAGGAGCAGACTGCATGTATCTACACCGACTCCCCGGCACCTACGACCTCTCGGCGCCGAATGTCGATTGCTTTGGCAGAGATAAATTTTCCGATTATAGAGACGATATGGGCGGTGTGGGAAGTTTTATGCGCCAGAACAGAACCATTTACATTGGCCGCATACACGTAACAGACGACATCGAGGAGATTGTGGCGCGACACTTTGCTGAATGGGGCCCGATTGAACGAGGTGAGTGCCATCACCAGCTACCGCCACGCTGCCTTTGCTTTGGGCTGGACTGACCGCTGTTCTTTAGTTCGCGTGTTGAATTCTCGGGGTGTTGCTTTCGTAACCTATGTCAACGAAGCAAATGCGGAATTCGCCAAGGAAGCCATGGCGCATCAGTACGTATTACCACTTGTTCTCACATCCAGCATCCACTGACCAGCATTAGATCGCTTGATCACGATGAGGTATTGAACGTTAGATGGGCCACGGCCGACCCCAACCCCATGGCACGAGCCCGAGAAGCGCGACGAATCGAAGAACAAGCTGCCGAGGCCATCCGGAGGGCGCTGCCAGCGGAGTTTGTCGCCGAAATCGAGGGTAAAGATCCAGAGGCCAGAAAAAGAAGAAAGCTAGAGAGCAGCTATGGATTGGAAGGCTATGAGGCCCCAGACGAAATCCATTTCGCACAAGGCCCCAATGCAGTCAATCCGGCTGGAAGGCGAGGATTCGAGGTGGAATATCAAGAACGACCTCTGATTGAAGATGGAACAGCCGGAGAGACGGAGACGGCAGCACAAGAAGTAAATCAACAACAACCAGCGCAGAGCACAGGCGTATTCTCCAGTAGCACTTTGGCAGCTCTGGGCAGAGCAAAGGTTGCGGTGGCATCGAAGCCAGCGGCGCCTGCATCCACGGGACCTCTGGTGGCATATGATAGCGACAGCGATGAGTAAAAGGGGCGTTTTTGGTGGTATTTGGCTTGGGATTTATCTATAACTGTAGATTGGGTACAGGATTCGTGTCATGCACAGCATTCATAATGATACCATATTAATATTAAGAGAAGAAACAATACTAGAGCATCACTCAGCTGTTGAAAATTCTCGAGTAAAGCAGCTCATGTCGTCCAACCCATAGATCCATAACCGGTACGCTCTGTCCTGCCTCTTCAACAGACGTGTGCCACTCCCTCTCCACCACCACATTAATCAGATCCTGCACGTTTTCACTCGCAAGCAGCTTCTGTGCCTGGTACGGCCCAAACATATTCGCCCTCACGGCCGCTGAAATCAACGCCTTGACGTGGCTCAGCATGAAGACATACGCCGTCTGTCTAAGCGTCAGCCCCACGATGGCGCAAATCGCGCCGAACAACGGACCGAGGTGCGCCGAGACGAGAGGAGCCTCGCCGCCCGCCTTGGTGCTCTCCCGACGGAGCAGCGCGGAGAAGTCCTTGAGGACGAGGGCGTCTGCGGCGCTGCCCGGGAGGATCGTGGCCTTGAACGAGCGCTCCCAGATGCTCAGCAGCGCTCGGCCCTGGGCGACGCTGGCTCGCCGGCCGACGGTGCAGACGACGGCGGCGTCGAGCTGGTCGTCTAGAGACGCGAGATCTGCGGGCTGGCGATGCGCCGCCAGGACGAACGGCAGCGTCGTGGAGGCATAGGACGACAGCGAGAGGGGGAGGAAGGCCCCGAAGGAGGCGCGGGCGTTGTGCGCCGCGAAGGACTCCAGGCCGCTGCTGAAGGCGAAGGATCCGATGGGAAGGGCGGAATCGGAGAGCAAGAGGAGGAAATGCGTTGATGAAGATGGCGATGGCGATGAGGCGGGCCGGACTGGTGTTTGGTATTTGCGTGAGTAAACGAATCAGTACTTCATGATAGGTTCTTGTCGACTTACACGGGATGGCAGGGTTTGATGCCCCGAGGGCGCTCAGACGAGCTTTTGCCTCGTGCAGGCGACTCTCAAGCTGGGCAATTTCATCCTGTATCTGAATCTCATCTTGCGCTGTCATTTTGGGCACATGTGTATGTAAAGTATAAAAAATTGAATTGCATTATCTCTCGTCATCCGTTCCGTTATTAGACCGTGTGATATCGTCGTTGATACGATACACGCCAACATTGTCCGGCAATAGTTACAAATAGGTATGAACATGAACAGATTATAAAAAGCCAAAAGAAAAAAAGACCACGAAAAAAACAACAACGTCAATCCAAGCAGCAAGAACTTCCAGCTTGCGGTACACTTGGTCCCGTTCATAATAAATCATGTTGATAACCACCCTCCCATTTGCCGTAAAAAAACACCAACGCTGATCCCTAAATAAATAAATAAAAAAACAAGTATTATCGTAGATTGTTCAGACCAACGTCACCTCTTCAAGGACGTACGTTTTCCTTGTCCGTTCCATCTCGCCGCTGGGCCCTCTTCTCGGCCATCCTCTTCTCAATTCGAGCTAGAGCCGCCGCTCGTCGCTCTGGTGGCAGTGACGCCTTGCTGTTGCCGGTCTTGGGTATGTCCTTTATTCTTTCTTGACCTGCGTCACCGTCGCCGAGACGAGCAAAGCGGTCCTGCAAAAGGTCGATCTCGACGTCTGTATCGTCGATGGATGCCGCTTTCTTGGACTGAGCTATTGATTTCACGAGCCCGGGCATACTGGAAAGTGCAACGTTGTCCTCTCCCGCGTCGCTCCCAGACCGGTTACGTTTTGTATCTTTGGGCGTTCTTGACGCAGAGGGCGGCCATTTGGACTTCTCATTTGCCGCTGCTCGAGATTGGCCTGGCGTGGCATCGTTTTGATATTTGTCTCGTAATGTTCGAGACTTGGCATTGACTCCTTCAACCAGATGTCGGGGCCTCTCAAGATCTGCCACGTCGATGCTCCTGCGAGTACCGTTTGTTGCCGCGGAGAGCCTCGGTAAAACTTCCCCATCCTCGGCCTCCCTTGCCAACTTGTTGTCCTCTGCTTTATGATTCCGGCCGGCATCTTTGGCCTTGAGTGTTTTGAGCTCCTTCTTCAGGTCGGTAATCTTGGTTTGAGCACGTTCAAGCACGGCTTTGGTATCCGAATCATGGGCTTCTCTCTCTTTCTTGAACAAGTCGAATTCCTTCTTCAGTTGGCCAAGTTCATCGTCTTTCCTGGATGATTCTTCCCTTGCTTGTTGAAGTTGTACTTTGAGCTCCCTCACCTTGACTGTACCGGTAGCCTCATCGGAAGTTGAGCGATCCACACCCTTTCGCTGCTCAGAAGCTTTTAGCTGAGCCTTGAGAGAGGATACTTGGTCTCTTAGGGCGTCCAACTCCTTGAGCTGTGCGCGAGATCGTCGAAGTTCTCGTTGTGTTTCGACTAGAGTTCTTGCCGTATTGGGCGAAGTCGTTCCCTGAAGCCGTATCCGCTCTCTCTCTTCGTCGTCTTCTTCTCGCCCTTGGTGCAGCTCTTCCAGCTGGCTTTCCAATTCCTGAACCCTATGTCGGTATTGGGCTGCGAGGGCCGTCTGTTTTGTGAGGGTCGCCAACAACTCCGTTGTTTCGTCGCTGGAGGCTCCTTTCTGTTTCGATACCATGTGACTTGCGTTCTCTGCAATCATCTTTTCCATGGCGACCACCTTTTCTTGTTCCTCCTTAAGCCTCTGAGCCAGATGGATAGCCTCCAAGTCCTTCTCCTCCGCATAAGATTTGAGATGTTTCTTGTACTTGAGGAGCTTCTCCATCTCCGCTCGTGCCTCTCTGTGGTACTTTTCGAACTCTTCTTTCCAATATTTGCCCGATTGAGAGTGTGGCTCGTTCAGGTCCACCGTGGTATCATGTGCATAATAATCGCCATTTTCGTCGAGTTCGTCCTCCTCCCATTCGTCCTCATCCGATTCGTCATTGATGATACGGGGCTCGGCCACTTTGGAAACGTTTGTGGTGCTTTTGCGTCTCGCTTTGTCAAGCACATCAGATAGACGGGTTCTTTTGCCGACTGCGGGCCCCTCGTTATTCGGCGAAATGGTCTTGGTCGTCGCAAGATCATGGTTGAATGACACGCGCTTCGGCCTCGAGGTCCCCGTACCAGGAGTGAGCAGGATGCCTTGCGGTTTCAATGGAGTATCTAATCCACTGTCCGCCGCCAGGGTTGTCGATTTTGCAGCTTTAGCCCTGTCTCGTAACACTCGATGCGATTCTCGAATAGGAGTGCCGAAGAGAGCACTTTTGAATGATCTAGCAGCAAAAACAGGACCGGGGGTGTCTGGCTGATCGAGAATCTCCGCGTCTAATTGTTGAAAAGAGATCATTAGGATACATCCGTCACGATCGTATCATTATCATGGAAACCATTTTACATACCTCCGGTGTCAACCGCGTCCGGCGCGTTGTCCCCACGCCCCAGCATCCAGCCCAGCATGTTGGATAGAGTGGCTCAAACAATTGTATTCCTGACTAAAACCAGCACAGGCCTGCTAGTATTTTGTATTGGCGTGTCTGCAATGAGCTTGCGGGCGAAGAAGTTGGAGCGTTGCTGTGTTTCGTTTGATGGTTGTGATGGGTGTTTGTTTACTTGCCCGTCGGTGTGTTGGCCAGTGACGAAATGCTTTTTTCCCTTATCAGCGCAAGCCGCGGCGGCGATAGAGTTCCAGGCAACTTAGTGGTTACCAGGACCCTGTAGTGAGCTAGCGGGTTCCCGCAATCTGGCAGTGGATCGATCGCCACCCAGCCGCTGTAGCCCAGTGGACAGGTCCTGCTCAGCCCTGTACAGGCACAGAGTTAGCGGCTCAGGCAGCTCAACTGTCTTTGGCTCGTGCTGTGCTGACCATTGATGGAATCGCTAGACGAACCAGGTGATGAACCTGCCCCGCTACCAGGTATAGCTTCATCGAGGCGCTACTGGCTCTCGTCGACAATTCCTCCTTCTTCATACCACACCAGCCTTATTATCCCTCTTTCGAACCGTATTCACAATGGCTTCTTCTATGTAAAGCGTCACGGCTTTAGCTGTGGCTCTTACCTAGGTATCACGCGACCATGGCGTGGAAAACACCCAGGATACTGACGTCGCCGTCGACAAACTCCAAGGATGACTCAAGCTTTCCGGGCCTCAAGCCCCCCGGTCCGGATGCAACGACCAAGATTGAGTATGAAGAGCTCCAGAGGAACGAGATTTTTGCCCTAGAAGCCATTTATGGAGATGATTTCATCCAGCACACGGCGGCGCACAGCGCCTGGAAGGTATTCCGCCCTAGTTTCTCAACCTTGCTGGCGCATGCCGACTTACACATGCATTCAGAAGTCCGACCCGTCTTTCGACATACGAATAAAAGCCCCGAGTGATGAAGACTTTGCTGTTACTGTTGGCTTTACTATCACGGCGACGTATCCAAAGACACCGCCGCTTTTGACCCTCAAGGGCCAGAACTACCTTCGAGAGGTCACCGGGTTCAAGATTCAGAAGTTTTTGGAAACACAACCGAAGATTTTTGCCAAAGAAGCAGAAGAGATGGTCTACAAGATTGTTGAGGGTATTCAAGATATCCTCGAGGATGCTGCACAGGCCAAGGCGTCCGGTAAACAGCTGCCATCGCTGGAAGAAGAGCGTGATAGACATGAAGCGGCCTTGGCAAAGCAGGCGCTGGCGCAAAAGGAGAAGAAGAAGCGCCTCGAAGAAGAGGAGATGAAGGAAAAGGAAAAGGCAGCTGCTGAAGAATTACAACAAGAGCTTCAGCGACAGAAACAAAAGGCGAGAGAGTCAAAGTTCAGCCGACGCACAAATGGCTTGAGCCCCCACCGGCCATCCTCCTCCTCGATTTCGAACGGCGAGACGATTGAGTTTGATCAATTTTGCACCGTAACTGATCGCATGGGGAATGTTTTGACGTTCAGATCTGTCACGGGCAAATCTGACCCTCGTAGCGGAGAGGCTTCCACCGTTTATACCGTCCGTCCGGTCCTCTCCAATGGCCAAGGAAACCAGTTATTAGCGTTGAAGGAGGCTGTCTTGCGTCCAAGTGGTAAAGATCAGAAAGACTTTAAGAAGCAGCTGCAGTCTTTGGAATCACGGCTGCAGGATCTCAAAATTGGGAACAAGATTCACCACCGACATCTCGTCGACATTCTTGATTTCAAGGTCGAGAGTGGTGCCGCCGCTGATCGCACCGCATCCAACACGTGGACGGTGAGGATACTGAGCCCTTTGGCTGAGAGAGGCTCGCTTGAGGAATTGCTGGAGCTAGCAGGCCATCTCGAGATAGCAAAAGTTCGATCTTGGACAAGAGATCTCCTGGATGCGCTAAACTTTCTGCACAACAAGAACATTGCGCATCAAAACATTCACCCGGGGAACATCCTTCTCTTTAGGGAATCTACTGGCGAAATCGTACCAAAGATATCTGATGCCTCGTATCAGAGAGAGATCCATAACCTCAGCTCTAAGAAGCAAGGTCCCATTGGGCTCACCACCGCAAAATCTGCGTATTGGCTGCCGCCTGAGATTGCGGCAGCATCCAAGCCTGTATATACATCCAAGGCTGATATATGGGACTTTGGTATTGTTTTCGTACAGATGGTCTTTGGGTTGGATGTGCTTCGCAAGTATTCCTCTCCCAAAAATCTGATGGAATCGTTGATGCTCTCCCAACCCCTCCAAGAGCTAGTCGGCCGCTTCTTCAAAGACGATAGGCAGAAAAGGCCGAGAGCGTTTGAGCTTGGTGCTAGTGAGTTTCTTGCGACAGATGCTCCTGTCCTGTTTGAAGATAGTTCTGCTATGCTGTCCCACACCCCGTCCATCAATTCTTTGCAAGCCCTTCCCGTGAGGCTCAGGCGAGATTCAATGAATAGATCAACAGCCGTCTCTCGGTACACGGAAGATTTTGTTGAAGAGGGAAGACTTGGTAAGGGCGGGTTTGGTGAAGTGGTCAAGGCTAGGAAAAAGCTGGATGGGCAGATATATGCCATCAAAAAAATCACACAGCGCTCACAGACAAGCCTTACGGAAATTCTCAAGGAAGTCCGTCTGCTCTCACAGCTTAGCCATCCTGCAGTTGTACGGTATTACAACACCTGGGTCGAGGAAATCCCTGACTCAACAGACACCGAGGGTGAAACGTCCACCGATGATTACACAGAGGATACCCGAGACACGGGCAACGAATCCGCTGGCATTGATATCCAGTTCGCTACAAGCACTGGTGGCCTGGATTTTATTTCGTCCAATGCTGGGGTGGAATTTGACTACGATTCTGATGAGGACGAGGATGAGGATGACCATGATTCTTCCGATGAAGAAGAAGACGATGATCAAAGTTCTATCATAGACTCCGTTGGTCATCGCGAAAAGCTTCATGAGAAGGAGAGGCTGGCTGTCCTGCAGCGGCGCGCTCGAATGCACCGATCTTATCGAACTGTTCTCTACATCTCCATGGAGTACTGCGAGAAGCGAGTACGTATATAATATTGATTACCTTCTTCAACAATTACTTACTCTAAACTTTAGACTTTGAGAGATCTTATCGCACGCAAGCTGTATAAAAATACTCCCGAAGTGTGGCGACTATTTAGACAGATTCTGGAGGGCTTGGCGCACATTCATTCGTTAAGCATTGTTCACCGCGATCTCAAGCCGGAGAACATATTTATTGCAAGCAGTGCCGACGGTGTGGATAATGTCAAGATTGGCGACTTTGGGTTGGCAACCAGTGGCCAATTTTCCGTGGATCGAGCCACTGTCAGCGGCTATGAGGCAGATGACATGACGAGAAGTATTGGAACAGCCTATTACTCTGCCCCCGAAGTGAGATCTGCATCCAACGGGATGTATAGCACTAAAGTCGACGTATGTTTCTCTATTCGTATCTCTACACGTGGAAACTGACGCCCTTGCAGATGTATTCCCTCGGAATCATTTTCTTTGAGATGTGCTATTTGCCTATGATGGGCATGCAAAAAGCCGATGTCCTCGGGCAGCTTCGACGTCCTGTCCCCGTTCTCCCCTCAGATTTCCGCCCCCCTGAAAAGACGCAAACAGAGATTGTGCTCTCGCTGGTCAACCACAACCCCAAAGAACGACCATCCAGTGCCGAATTGCTTAAGAGCGGTAAATTGCCAGTCCAGATGGAGAGCGAGACCATTAGGAGGACTTTGGCTGGTCTGGCGGACCCCAATTCACCGTATTACCAGAAAATGTTGTCGACGCTGTTTGCACGGCCCGTGGAGGCGGCCAAGAATTTCGCGTGGGACATGAACGGCACCACACCTAGTTCCGCCGAGCTTCTGAACCAAAGCATTGTCAAGAATGCGCTGGTGGCCATTTTTCGCCGCCACGGAGCCCTCGAAGCAACACGAACTTCGATATATCCCAAGACGGTGCACCAGGCTGACAACGCCGTCCGACTCCTTGATTCTAACGGCACCGTTCTCCAGCTTCCTTATGATCTTACGATGGGACACGCTCGAATGTTGGCAAAACACTCGCAAACTCCTCCACTGCAGCGCACCTTTACGTTTGGCAGCGTGTTTAGAGATAAGCAAGATACGGGACAGCCTCAGATGTTTGGTGAGGTGGATTTCGACATCGTCACGATCGACACGCTGGATCTGGCATTGAAAGAGGCCGAGGTCTTGAAGGTCCTGGATGAGATTCTTCATACGTTTCCATCCTTGTCTGCATCACAGATGTGCTTCCACATCGGACACTCCGACATCCTTCAACTCATTTTTGAGCATTGTGGTATTCCAACTTCTTCTAGAAGGGCAGCAGCAGATGTCTTATCCAGGTTGAACATTCACAACCATACGTGGCAGAAGATTCGAATGGAGCTTCGATCTCCTGCTGTGGGTATATCGGCTACTAGTATTGACGAACTTCAGCGTTTCGATTTCCGAGGTACGAGTTCACCGCGGCCGGATATACACAACCAAGGGAGTTGTATCATCGCTAACTATAGGACACAGACACACCAAACAAAGCGTTTGCAAAACTCAAGCTCGTTTTTGAAGGCAGTGATATGTACCAGCGGGCCGCGTCGACAATAGCGCATCTCAAGGAGGTAGTCGAGTATACCAAACGATTGGGCGTCTCCACCAAAATCTACATAAACCCTCTCAACAGTCTCAAAGAAGGCTTTTATATCGGTGGCATCCTGTTCTCTTGCATCTACGATAAGAAAGCCAAAGATGTGTTTGCCGCCGGTGGCCGGTATGACCACTTGATCAGCGAGCAACGCCCCAAGATTGGAGGACAATTTGAAAAACGCCATGCCGTCGGATTCAGCCTGGCTTGGGAAAGGTTGGCAAAAACGCCAAAATCAGGCGGCTATTCGTTCTTGAAGAAAAGCGAAGAAGACGTGAGCAGCATATTCAGCAGTAAACGCGTGAGTACCCATCAAATGACGCGACAATCTGAAATACCCGACTAAGACCAAAGTTGCAGTGCGATATTCTGGTGGCAAGCTTTGACGCAGCAACCCTTCGATCCTCTGGTATTGAGGTGCTGCGGCTACTCTGGTCACACGATATAAGTGCAGAACTTGCTAGAGACTCAAGGTCTCCGGAAGATCTCATGTCAAAACATCGGGATGAGAGCTATTGTTGGATAATCATCATCAAGCAAGATTCTATGCTGAAAATTAAAACTGTAGGAAAGAAAGATGTGCCGGATGTGGATCTACCCATGGCGCAGCTCCTTTCCTGGCTAAGACCTGAGATACGAGAGCGAGATAGCAAAGCCGCAGCAAAGTTTCGCGGAACGCCCGAGCCTGCAACGCAAGGCGAGAAAGATCACGAACAGGAAGTCAAAATCATGGTTGCCCAAACCAAGAGCAAGAAGTTCAATCGGCGCACAGTAGTGGAACAAGCACAAGTCACCGCGGCCGCGCTGATGGACTCGTTCCTCGAAGGTCCCATCCTGGCCGTTGAAACCAGCGACCACCTAATGGAGCTTGTACAGAGCACAAACTTGTCGGACCCTGAAAGCTGGCGGAGGGCTGAACATGGCGTGGCAACGTCGGAGAAGAAGAATGTCCGTGAAATCCATGATCAACTCGACACTTGGAGGTACAAGTATGAAAAGAAGGGCGGCTCAAAGCATTCGTTCTTGTACAATTTCCGGTCAGGGACTTGCATGTACTACGATTTATCTGGTTGAAAGATGTAGTTTAGCAAAGGGGGATCTGTGCATATAAGTCGACCGATGTATATTTTGACGATGACCTGTATCCAGGTAGCATTTGGCTATTTCTCTGACACGTACCTCGCAATAGATGGATATATGCTATTTACCCCGTTTTGCTTTTATCCAAGAGTTGGGTATAGCTCATATCAACCACTCGTAGTCTCTCCATATGCTTCATTTGGTGCCCAACACAACATAGAAGCCGTCGGGCCAAATGCATGTGCGCCACACAACATCCAGACGGCTGAATGAAACCATTGCGCTGGTTGCCATTGGCCACTGATGAGGCGAGAATAAGCCAGGCGTACCTATGTAATGATAAGCTGCGCTCGGACGAGCTGAATGGAACCCTATGGAAGCCGTTAGCTTTAATTTCTTACCCCTACATGACAATAGAAGAAAAAAATCAGCTTTATGCTAACAAAGAATGATTTTTTTTCTCTTCCGGTGGCTTGAGGATGACGGCGCAGATCTTGGTATTTAGATCGATGGCTTGATGATTCCAGTTAGAGCACGCGTGTTAGGACTCGGGTTACTCCGTAGTGGGTGGCCAATGAAGGTCAGCTAATGTACTTTTAGTCTTTGTCTCGGCCATTAGCAGTACCGAGTGGCGGTTCTCTGGTTGCGACCTGCAGCAGGGCTCTGTTGGAACGACTTGGTCTTTGAAACAATGCATGAATTGATTGGGTTCCATCGTACGTCGACGTACCGTGCAGCTGGATGCCCATCCAATATTGGCAACTGGCCTCTTGTCTCTTTTGATGGAATGCAATCAATATAGTAGGTACATATTCAGCTCTCATGACAGATGTCACTCCTTTCCTCCCCTCGTCTCAGCCGATTCTCGTGGCGGCTGTTATACATGCGAGTACCGCCCAAGTATCGCCGATGACTAGCGCCACGGGAGCGATACTTGGCAGTACCTGTCCATGATAAGCAGCCCTCGGAATGCACCCCTAAAAAGCCCATTATTGAAGCGAGGACCCCTGCAGGCGGGGGCGCCTGGGGGAGGGGCAGCAGCGCTTTTTGGCACTCGAGCTGCGACTAACAGGCGCCCTTGGAGGCCCGTGGAGGCTTCACCGCCCGGGACTTGCGGCAGTCACCTGTCGCAGCCACCTGATGCCGTCACATCTGTGGTGCCGTAGCCGGCCCGGCTGAGTTTCGGAAATTCCTCGACGAGCGCTTCTACTTGGCCAACCCTTTGTGGCCGGGCATCTTTCTCTTACTTGCATCTTCTCTCTTTTTGTTCTCACCTGTGTCCTCATACGCGCCTCTTGTCACGCCCAGCGTTCACCCTCGGACGATAGCATCGAGTCATCAGTGGTGGCCGTCCGCCTTACCCGTCCATTCGCCCCCTAGACTCTCCCGGTTGCTGCCGACACTCGGCCAGAAGCTGCTGCTCTGTGCATCGAGTTCGCGGAACAAAGAGCACAACAACTCTCGGGCCGCTCTCCCCATTCACCTTTTTTCCGTATAACGGTTCTACTCCTCCTACCAGCGTCATGGCTCAGAAGCGCCTTATGCAGGAGCTGCGGTCTCTCCAGAAGGAGAAGTGGGTCGAGATTACAGTAAGTTCACCCCAATGGACTGGACTCAGCGATGAGTCTCTTGCTCACCATATTCAGACGGACGAGACCAATCTCCTTAAGTGGAGGATCGGCCTCTGGGTTGTCAATCCTGACAGCGTTTGGCATGGGGCGTTCCTCAAGGTAAGCCAAGACAATCTACTATGCTCTCTCTCTCACAGGCACCCTGCCTTTGCTAGAATCGACGAGAAACTGACAAGATGCTCCAGGCCGAGATGAGATTTCCATCCGACTATCCCTATCAACCACCAGTCTTCAAGTTCCTCACCCCCAACATCATCCATCCCAACGTGTATTCCGACGGAAACCTCTGCATTTCCATTCTCCACAAGCCTGGCGAGGACGAGCAGTCCGGCGAATCAGCGAGTGAGCGATGGAATGTTTTACACGGAGTTGAATCGGTTCTCAGATCTGTTCTCCTGCTCATGGACGACCCCGAGATCAATTCAGCAGCCAACGTCGACGCCAGCGTCCTGTACCGAGACAATCGGTCCGAGTATAATACCCTGGCCAAGGCTACGGTAGCCGCAACCAAGAAAAACATCCCGGAGGGTATGAAGATGCCCAGCATGGAGGAATTGACCCCAGTGCCGGTCAAGCCGGTCGATGACGACGCAGACTTCTGGAATATGTCAGACGAGGAGGAAGACTTTGGCGGAAGTGACAGCGACGAAAACATGGACGACTTTGATGACGAAGAGGAAGAAGAGGATGAGGATGACAAATGAGCGTCCTCATCCGAGTGCGGCGTCATTTCTGGAGAATGCGCTGTTTCCACCAAATGGCCGGCCGGCTGACTTGTCCCGGCGCGCCAAAATCGACGGCATACTCTACCTACTCGACTAGCGGATCCGTTTTGATGGCGTTTGGCGGCTTCTTACCTACGTTTGCATGGAACGGATTGGGAGAGGGAGGGTTCGGTGTCATGGCGTGGCATCTCTACTCTTGGACCACGGAAGGATAACATTTGTTTTTTTTTTTTGCGGTTTTCTTGTTTTACTTTGCCGCTTTTGCTTTGGTTTGCGTCTGCGTTTGCCGTTTTGGGTCATTACATGCATTTCTCATATTAGCGGGTTTTTATCGTTTTTGTAGCTCGAGTCTGAGGGCAGCCAAGTTATATAGAAGGCAGAAGCGCATAGACGCGTTGATACACCAAGCACATATACATCATCCACTTTTTTAAACAAGAAGGAAAGACTATGCTGGGGTCCTTTGGCCTGAGAAAGTGGCGGAATTCGCTGCTTGGCTCAAGATGTAGAAAAGACATTGCATCAATGGTCTCAATAAGCTCAGTGAGTAGGTATCTACACATAAGGTAAATATCAACTGGTAATTTATAGGCTTAGGTAGTCACTGCCTAATCTACTGGCAACCTAGGAAATGTCAATATGCTGGCTGCTATTCGCTTGATGCATACGTACGTACGCACCCATCTAGGTAGTACATATGATTCATCATTTGACTAGAAGAGCTGTGTAATTCGTACGTGGCCCTGCTGCGGATAATTATGCTTTGCAGCGGGCATTCAGTCCGTCAGATGTTATTTCCAGCAGCCCTTCTCTCAATGCTCCAGGTACCCACTGCAGTACCTTAGTACCTAAGGTAGACCAAGACGCTGGCGCATAGCCGCAGCTTATCTTATCGGCATGCACTCAGGTCCCTCCTTCACTGACGTTTGCCCGCAACCGCCTTTCACCTCCCAAGGTGCTGTTCCCAATCCCATCGACGGCCAGGGCTCGCACCAACAAACCAACAGCTTGCGTCGCTTGCTGGCGACGCTCTTCCGCCTCCCGCATTGCTTACATTGGCCTCTTCTCTCATTTTCGCTTCTTTATGCCCGTAGACGCCACGCCTCGGTTTGCATCTTCGATAGCTCTGTTCCGTTTCTGGAGCTAGGGTCACCTGTCCTGTCCCGTCCTGTCCTGTGCTTCCTGTGCCTGTCAAACGAGGCGAGACAAAGGGAGAGAAAGGGCTTGAACCAGGCGCTGGCTGGTGTGCCGGAAACGCAAACCGCATTTTAATCTCGGAATTCTTACTGTTACAGCTACAGCAATCTTGCCATTGTCTCAAACAGAGCTACCAGTGGCCGCCATTCGCCATGGCCTCGATGGAGCCGTCCGAAGATGACATCTCGCAAGTGGTTGACTTTGCGGGCCTCAACCCAGTCGATGACCGTCACATGGTCATAAACGCCCTCAGGGTTTGCTTGCACTACACCTGAGCTCCAGCTCGCTGCGGCAGCTAATACGACACAGAACAATAACCGAAATGTCGAAACCGTCGTTATGCAATACTTTGACAACTCTGAGAGTGTATGCAAGACTCTTATACCCCAAGTCGCCAAGAATTCCATGGCCGAGTTACACTATACTGATCAATGTTGCTGCAGTTCCGACAAAAATATACTTCGCTATGGAACGAGTCCTTGTTTTCGGCCGATAGAGACGGTGCTTCTGGTAACGATGGTGTTAGATGTACGAAGGGCGAGCTATCCACACTAACGGGGAAAGTACCGTCTGGAAGCTGACACTCTGAGCAGCATTTCACATCGAGTCATTAAACGGCAACGATATCATACAAGGAGTGACGCCTCCTCCGCCTGGCTACGGAGCTCCATCAAGGCCTCCTTCGCGGTCCAACGTCAGGTCCCCACTAGGTAGGATGGTCGACTGGGCCTCGGGGGACACAGCTGGTAGTGCTCTGTACTCCCCCGTACCTTTGGGATAACTTATTCTGACATGGCTGGCAGGAGGAAATAACGTACACTCCCAAGAAGATGAGGACATGCAAAGGGCGCTGCGCGAATCAGCACAAGAAGCGGGGCTATCGATCCCTCCACAAGAGTCCGGCGTTACCAGCCAGTCGACTTCAACGCCGTACTTTGGCCCGGCGAATCGTTCCGAATACGACCAGGACAACTGGGCCATGGTTCCCGTGGGGCCGCTCAAGACACGGCTGGATAACGCCCCGTCGCCAGCTCAGAGAAAGCGAACTCCCGAAACCCCAGCATTCTTGATCCAGGGATCCGGCTCAGTGAAACACCACACCTTGGGTGGCTTGCTCACGATTTTCAGCCAAATTCCTCTAGCGAGGAATGTTCTCCTGCAGTGTGGCTCTCCTGCGGCATCCTACGGTTTCAACAATGAATGGTGGAATGGACAGGAAATTCTACCTCCAGAGGCTTTACGCCAAATGCAGTCAGAAGAAGCGGGATGGGGCTACGACAATGCTGCGAAGCCAAACTTTGAAGAGGAAATCCATCGGCTCATGGCGTTTCTCGATTCGACAGAGAGGAGTTATGGAACAGTCAATACGCTTACGAATTTGATGCAAGACACAACAAGTGATATAGAGAAGCAGTTTTATGCCCAACTCGGCGACACCAATGGTGGGGAGTTGCTAGAGCCTTTGCATCAAGAAGCGATACTGGCAAGCGTTGGCACTGGCGAGGATAATGAGATTCAACATGCTAGATTCGGATTACTCGAATTTGACCATTCGGGGCTTGAGTATGCCCACATCAAAACTCTCTACGAAGCCCTCGATTATTTGATGTGGGGAGACCTGTTATCGTGGCCTGATGCCGACGATAGGTCTAGAATCGCCATGTTTAAGAAGATGGGCGAAATTCTAAGCATCAAAGTCGGAAATGATGGGCCACTTGATTCGTTTGAAATTCCGGAAGTGCTATACCCTGAACGATATCTGGAAAGCCGTAAGAAGGAGGCCAAACGCATAGCATCTGCCTTACTGGAAACCAAAAATGCACTCGACAGCGTGACAACCGAAGAGCGGCGCCTACAAGAGTGGCAAGACGACTGGAACCAACTGACCTTTAATAAGACGGACATGATCCACAATGCTACGGAGCAGTGGAAGGCGTTTTCAGATTATCTCGAGACCGCTGGCCGGTTTCAGGCGATGGAGGCTTCGGGGTTCGACACGAACAAGTATCCAAACTACCGGGACGCCCCATGTCAAATGACCTCGGCGCAGGCCAAACACTCTGAACAGGTGGACGAAGTACTTCTTCTGACCGAGCGGATACTGCATGATATGGAAGCAAAGACCGAAGGTGAGACCACAATCAAGGATGTAGAGTGAACACCCCATGCTGATGAGCTATTTCAGATCTCCGTGTTCAGCTAGAGCAGATTCAAGCCAAACAACGCTTCCTCGGCAAACTCTTGACGGTCCCAGACAAGCCAGGCCGGCCAAAGCCATTGACGTGCAAGAAGTATCTTCTTCGGGGCGTCGCTACTGATAGGGACATTGTTTACGTCTGCCAGCGCCTGTATCCGGAATCTGCTGAGTCAGAAGACCCGAAATCGCCGGTCGATCAGTGGTGGCGCCTAGAGTACTGTCCCAACGAGGACCAACTGGTTAGATCTGAGGTACAGTAACATGTTACACTGTCTTTTTGTTCTTTAACCAAAAGCAACGCTAATGCCCCTCACCTTTTGATAGAAGGTAGAAGTCGAGCGAATCTTTAGAGACTTATGGCTCGAGACAAAGACGCCACTGCTCATATATGCGACTGAAGAAGCAATCTCCACGCCGAGGGCCCCATTGTCAGATGCCCTGAATATGTTTGTTAGATCGGATAATAAGGCGTTCCGGCAAGAGCTGAAGCGGCCTGTGGCTGACAGCGTTGAGGAAAGGAGGCATACCTCTGTCGACCCAATCTCACCCTCTAAGCGAAAGCATCGAGATAGCATGGACTCCATGGACACCAACCGAGCGTCTATCGGCAGCGAAGACAGAAGTCCATTTGAACATGCATTCGACGAGCAGGTGGAACAAGCAGAACTGGAGATGGCGGACATGTCGGGGGGCAAGTCGGAGTACGTCAGGGGCTCTGACGCTGAAGATAAATTCGGGCCTCTCGGAATCCCACCGACCACACTTGGCCGTGATGCAGCCCAGATGACGATCGAATCTGCGACTCTTACGCCAGACACGCTAGCGGCAGACGAGGGCGAAGCACATAGGCCAACTCCATCTGAAGACAGCCAGGCAGACGACGTAGTGAACAAGATGGCTGAGGCTCAGGTGGCTAAGAGTCCGGAAATGCAAGAGCGAGTTCGGCCACCGTCACTGATACGACCACCGTTGGGGAACGACACTGGGAGACTAAGTATGGACATGGATATATCTGATATCCAGGAATAGACGTCTAGAAAAGGGGACTCGGAAGGCACAACTGCATGAGCATACCATGATTTGGCTGCCAAATGAAGAAGACGAAGAAGGCGGAAAAGGGGCAAGGAGGACAAGTTTGTCTCCGAGGCTTTCGGGAAAGAATCAAGGATGGGAAGAGGTAACGGACTGCTGGCGAGGCCGTTTGTATAGGGAGCCAATCGCTGGATGCCAATGCACCCCTCTCGGTGGGCACGATGGCGCAAGATTTTTGAATGGCATTGTTGGACTTGTGGCATTGAGACTCTCTCACTTTGAAGTGAGATTGCACTCAGAACTCGGTTACAGCGACGAAGCGAAGGATTGCTATTGGTACCTTGGCCAGTCTCGTTATTTTATAATCGGCCTCTATCTTTACTTTCGTTCTGATACTATGCATCTCCAAGAATAAACGTGGCTTCGTCCCATTCTAAGAGCTTGGTGTTGCAGTGCTTGATCTCGTGAGCACTCAGACGTTGGGCATAGGCTACCTATGTTAGTAGTTTAGACATGGAAGCTTCTAGAAACTTCTACGAGACGGGCATTTTTGGCCGGCCACAAGCTTGCACACGGAATAGTTTCAAAAGCTGTACTCGGTACTTGTGGGTTAAAGGCTGTAACTCTACGGATATTGCTTGCTTTGGTGTTTCGGTTAGCTGCTTTAGTGCGATCATGGATGTTTGTTGTTTCTCATTTACCGTTCCGAGTTGCATCAAGGCGTTGCCGAGCATGTACAATAGGGCATCAGTGCTGCAGCATGTTGTTGACATATTTGGGCCTGACGTAACGTATTGATAGCCACGCGCGCAGGGATCATGAAATAGCCCATGCACCCAGGGATTTCATGTAGTGTAATATAGCAGATGAATGGACGATGCAGGGGCAAGAGAGGAAAATGGAATCCCATCCCCTTTTGACGCGGGATGGCTGGGGCGTGGCTGGGCATCCGAGAGGGGGGCATTTTGAGGCCTCATTGGATTGGTTTTGATAGACGGCGACAGCACAGCGCATCAGCGAGCGGTTTGATGGACTGGAGGTCATTGCCGACTGGAGCTTAGTGCTGCCAGCGAGCTGTTTAGGGCCCATCCATGGATGTTTACGGAGTAGTTGGGCGTGATTTGGATCCCTGCAGCGTGGGGCTGGCGGGTGGTTGACATGATTTGGGTTGGACGTTTTTGTTGTTGGCGGGAGTGAGGATGAAGGTGTGTTGATGTGAATGGATGGATGGATGGATGGATGCAGTCTGTACTTGGGGAGAGACAAGATGATACATGAGGGGGTTCAACAAAGGGATAGATCATATCTGTGGCAAAAAGACAAGTAAAAAGAAGGAAAAGAGGAAGAGGCTCGGCATCTTGTTGTAGCCCATCATGTCATGGCATGACAGAAAAAAGAGAGCATCAGCTGCCCAACCCCGGACCTGAACAAAGTCACCTGCTGCCGGTAAATATCACCGCGCTTCGTACCTACTAATGTATCAGATCAAAATACATACCTAGACTACCTATGCCATCTCTCTCTCTCTCTCTCTCTCTCTTCCTCTTCTCTCCTGGACCCCTTGTTTTCCTCCTTCTTTCTCGCAACTCGCTGTTTCGGCTCCAGCATCTGGCATTAGCACCTGTTGTGTGTGCGTTGGCCTGCCGTAGGTTGATGCAGCATCTGCAGCTGCAGCGTTTCCGCACCGCATCGCACCGCACCACATTCACATTCACATTCACATTCATCGTACATGACAAACCCCCTCTTTTTCTTTACTTGCTTTGATATGGTTATTGGTCCGACGTGTGCATACGACATGTTAGTCCCTACATACTCGTACTAAGGTACCAAGACATATCGACTGCTAGAGGTTGGTCTGCTGCAGACGTTATCGTACCAGCACAGCACAGTGAGCTTATATAGCACCAGACAGACCCCTTCGCTGCTGCAGCCTCTACTATAGTAGGTACCTGCTCAACCATCACCACGGCCATTCTTCACAATTGGCCGCCTAGCATCAAATCAAACCAACTCAGCAACCAGGCCTTTGTCTGCCCTGGCCGTGCCGATCAAATCAAACCCGTTGCCTGTCTGTTCCATGTTGATTCATTCCCCCCCAGCTCCTCGTGCGTCATAGCCGGTTAGAGTAGCGGGAAGCTTCTACAAGGTCCCAGCAAAAAAAGGCAGCCCCACAAACCGGCTCACCTTTGTGCTGTGGTAACCTGACCAGGCCTGAATATTAGTAGCGGCGAGGCTTGCTCTCACGCTCACGCTCTCACTTCTCTCCCAGTTTCCCCTCCATATTGCCAGAAATCCCTTGACCGATCTTTCTTTCTTTTCTCTTCTTTTTCATCTTCCTTCCATACCTTTCACCATCTCTCCCTCTACAATTCGACCTCTCGACTGCGACATCATCATTTGCTGCCTGCTTTACATCCACGATTCTCAGCACCAGCATTACACCAGCGTTACGTCTCGTGAGGCTCTCGTCTTACAGTCGATTCGTCGCATCAGATACTGTGAATCTGCCGTGGCAGCAGCTGCCGCTGGCCCCCACCACTGCTAGAGAGCACGCACGCCGAATTCGTCACCATGGTCAAGGAGACCAAGCTCTACGATACCTTGGGTATCAAGCCCGAGACGTCGCAAGACGAGATTAAAAAAGCATACAGGTATGTCACCAGCTATTTCGCTCGTTGATTTCCTTCTCTCCTCTCGCGCCCGGCTTTTCACTCGCACCCTTTGTCGTCATACTTGGGTAAAGCTAGCTGGCGGGTGGCAATTGGCCAACGACGACGATTCGCATGCTGCCTCCCCCACACAGCTTGCCGCCCAACCAGCCAATTCGAAACCCATGCCAAAATAAAAATTTAAAAAAAAAAAAACGAAATGGAGAGGCTAACCACAATGCGTGCAACAGAAAAGCTGCTTTGAAGTGGCACCCTGACAAGAACAAGGACAACCCCAACGCCTCGGAAAAGTTCAAAGAGTGCTCGCAAGCCTACGAAATACTGTCCGACCCGGAGAAGCGCAAGATCTACGACCAGTATGGCCTCGAGTTCCTGCTGCGGGGTGGTGCCCCTCCACCCGAGGGCGGTCCAGGTCCCAATGCGTACGCGGGAGCAGGCGGCATGCCTGGAGGCTTCGGCGGCTTCGATTTCGGAGGCATGCCGGGTGGAGGAGGTGGTAATGCTAGAACGTTCCATTTCAGTACAGGCGGCACCAAGGGGTACAATTTCATGAACCCCGAAGATCTGTTTGCAGAGTTTCAGCGCAGCGGAGGAATGCACGGCGGCGGCGCCGGCCACGACGACGATGATTTCAACTTCTTTTCTTCCTTTGGCGGTGCGGGCGGTCCGCGGTCAGGTCGGACAAGGACAAGGTCCGGCTTCGCTGAGCCACCGCAGAGGAACCGCGAGCCGACGCCCGAGATTACCACCGTTGAGCGGCCGTTGGCTCTCACTCTCGAGGAGCTGTACAATGGAACGACGAAGAAGATGAAGATTAAGCGCAAGACATTCGATGAATCAGGCAAGCGCGTGCAAACGGATCAGATCTTGGAGGTACCCATCAAGCCAGGGCTCAAGAAGGGGTCCAAAATCAAGTTTAATGGAGTTGGCGACCAGGTGGAAGGCGGTAGACAAGATTTGCACTTTATTGTCGAAGAGGTAAGTCAAGCGATTCCCTTGTAGAACCCACCTCCCTACTATCTGATCGTCCTTTGAATGCTAACCAACTGTGCAGAAAGAGCATCCCTTGTTCAAGCGAGAGGACAACGACATTGTGCACACCGTCACCTTGGACCTCAAGGAGGCTTTGACTGGGTGGAAGCGGGTAGTCGCTACAATCGACGGCAAGCAGATCAGCATAGACAAGGGCGGCCCAACGCAACCCGGAAGCGAAGATCGGTACCCTGGACTGGGCATGCCCATGACAAAGAAGCCCGGGCAACGAGGCGATTTCATTGTCCGCTACAGGGTCAACTTTCCATCGAGCTTGACGCCAGAGCAAAAGGCGCAGCTAAAGGAAATTCTGTAAGATTGGAATTAGACAATCTACGGGCGCTTCCTTGCAGCAAAGCTTGAAACAATTTAAAAAAAGAAAAAAAGGGAAAAAGAAATTACCACACATAACGACAGAGGGCTTGGTATGCGGGACATGAACAGGACCTCAGAGAAACCAAGTCGCACGATGCTTTTGAGAAGGCTGGGAATGAAAATGTCCGCGCAGTCAGGCACAGTCCAGTCTGTCAAGCATACATGCCGCGGATGGCAACAATGATGAGTTGGCGTGTTTTCTTCTTCTCTCTGTGTTTTTCTTTGGCCACCTTTGTAATGTCAAGAGGAATTGACAAGGAGTAGAGGCGTTTTAGGGATGAATTTCTGGCAGAGTTTCAAGGCACGCGGGGGATTTGTTTTCTTCTTCTTTTTCCTTGGTGTTGGCATGAGTGAGACGATAGCATCCAGGTCTTTGTGATTGAGGAATTGCGGGAGATTTATACATTATGTTGAAGTTGGTCGATGTAGCGACACAACACTTGATTGATAGCGGTTAAAAAGAATTACATTGCTCTTGGCACCAATGATTGCGTCTTACCTGAGGTACCTAGCGGTTGAATACTCTACACTTGTAGTTACTAGCTATCGGAATTCAGCAGCTCTTTTGATGATAGAGCCTTTGTATATGCATTAATGCTGCCGAGTGCATACTCTCGTTCATAACTGCCTGTGATGACTTTGGCGTTGGAGCTGTTCAAGAGCCCTTACGAGTGCATGCTGTGTCTCAGTCTCAGTCTCAGTCTCAGTCTCAGCCACCCGAGGCGCCGTCTCCAGGTCGCGTTCCAAGACGTGGTCACGAGCAGCCAAGAAGCATGACGAGAATTCCAGCGAAGCGAATTTGACTAGAGACGTCTTTGATTCATTGGCTCAGCGCGTTTACTATCAGCAGCATTGATACTAACATGATGCGCGTTTAACATTGGGAGCATTGATACAACATGATGCGCGTTTATGATGTCGGGAATAAAAAGTGACAACATGAGCCTGCCTGGGTGGTTAATCCATATAGTACGGAGCGACGAATCATTTTTAGCATGGGGGAATTGGAGGGGCAGCTAACATGGGTTCAAGGAGGGGCGATGACGACACTGATGACCCGCGGATGGGGGGGGGGGGGGGGGGGGGTAAAGAACGGGAAATAGGAAACGAAGCAAGGCTGGGAATTAATTGGTGAGTGGTGATTGGGGGGGAGAGGATTTGATTGAATTGTTTTGGATGAATGTTGGGATGGGAGGTTGAGAGTTGGGAGGGAATAGTAGCAGTAGGGGAGGTATTGAAGGTGCTTATTACTGTAAATGGGCTGAGTTGCTTGTTTTGGCATGTGAAAGAAACCCCAAGTAATGATGATTCAATTGTGCATCTGGCTGGCCTCTTCTTGGTGAGACGGGGCTGACGCTGGAAATCCATAAACAAGATTTCCCATGCGATATCCACTTGGCTGCAATGTGTTTTGACACGTCTGGATGCACCTTTTTTTTTTGTGACTCGGGGGGGTTTCACATGAGGTAATTGCAACGGCTTTTCTTTGTGCGTACTTGTACCTGGACCTGTTTTAAGCGGCCCTGCCCATGTGGAGAGCTTAATTGGCCTGGCCTGGCTTACTTTTGGGTCATCTTTCGTGCCTTATAATACTTGAAGCCGTTCCCGAGTTCTCTCGTTGTTTCCTTCTTCCCTTTTCTTCTTTCTTTCTTTCTTTTCTTCATACATTTGACCTGTAAACGCTTCATTGTACTCTATTCTTCTTCTTCTTCTTCCTTTTCTTCTGCTTCTCCCTCTAGCTTCTCTTGGATATAATAACACCAGACCCATTTCATCAAGATGCCTCAAGTAAGCCAAACTCTCCTCCAGATTCTACCCAATCCCTCGTTTCCGCCGCAGCTAACCTCTCGTTTCTCAGATCAAAGCCATCCTCTTCGACTGCGACAACACCCTCGTCCTCTCCGAGGAGCTCGCCTTCGAGGCCTGCGCAGACCTCATCAACCAAATCTGCGCCGAGCGCAACGTCCACGTCAAGTTCACGGGCGAGACGCTCATCCAGGAGTTCGTCGGCCAAAACTTCCGCGGCATGCTCACGACGCTGCAGAAGACGCACGGCATCGACATTGCGCCCGACGACCTCGAAAAGTACGTGCTCGCCGAGGAGGACGCCGTCATCGCCAAGCTCAAGGCCGCGCTGAGGCCCTGCGTCGGCGTCGACGAGCAGCTCGCCGCGCTGGAGACGAGCGGCAAGTACCAGCTGGCCGTGGTGTCGTCGTCGGCGCTCAGGCGGGTGCGCGCCTCCATTGAAAAGGTCGGCCAGGACAAGTATTTCCCCGGAGACGTGGTGTTTTCCGCCGCGACGTCGCTGGAGAAGCCGACGAGCAAGCCGGACCCTGCTATTTACTTGCATGCGCTCAAGGTGCTGGGCAAGGCGGCTGGCGAGAGCGTGGCGGTCGAGGACAGCAAGAGTGGTACATTGAGTGCTACGAGGGCGGGCATCAAGACCATTGGGTATGTTGGTCCGTATGCCGATGACAAGAAGGACGAGATGGAGGGCGTGTTGCGGGATGCGGGCGCCGTGGTGATTATGCGTGATTGGAGCGAGTTCCCGGCTGCTTTGGCCAAGATTGAGAAGGGCGAGGTTTAATTAGAACTCGGCTTTGTTCTTGTGTTTGTTTATTCTTGCATTATGGGTTTGCCCTTGGAATTTGGGTTCTTTTTTTTGGCTTGTTGGCTTGGTTCATACAGGAGACTAAGACAGAGACAACCAGCATGACAGGCTAGATATGATTAGATATGATGGAACGAATTGACGCTTCTTGAAATATAAACCGAATATTTGTTATATCCGTGTGATGTATGTCATGTATTCCAATTATACGGATGTTTGCTATAAATCAACCCCCTTGCTAATTCCTCCAATCCATCAGAAAGCTGTTCACGCTTTGGAGGGTGCTTCTGCTCGGATTCGCCTCCGGATACACCGTCATGATGGCTCCGAGCCTCATCTTGACCAACGTCTTGGTAAACGCCACCTGATCGTCAGGCACGCGGAACCGGCCCTCGCCGTCGAAGAGATGGCATGAAAGCGCCAAGGCGACGCCTACGGAGAGGTCCCTGTCCGAGTCGCAAGCAACGATGATTTGAGGCTGTTCGGCGTTGTTTGATACATCCGGTGCGTTATTTTGCCGGTGGTTCTGGAGGAAGCGAGTTGCGAAGGAGCATATTTCGGTGAGGGCCAGGCGGAGGTTGCGGCTGGCGGTTTTGTGTTTGCCGAGGCCGACGCGGAGGAGCGTTGGGGAGAGGAGCCATGTTTCTTTTGGGGTGGGTGTTTCGGTGAGGAGGATGAGGCATTCATTTGGTTGTTGTTGTTGTTGTGATGGAGAGGGTGTTGGTGATGAGAGATCGAGTGGCGATAGGGCACGGACGGAGAGATGTGGCGTGAGTTGCTTTCGAGGGAGGGTAGTGGGATTCGCGTCGCCGGAGGGGGCGGACTGGCGCTGTGCGTTGGCTTCTTCCACTAGTTTGATGATGAGGTCTGGGATGTCGGCTTCTGCGGCGGAGAGAAAGGTTGTGGCGTTGGCCCAGAAGACGTCTGGGGTGAGGCCCAGAGCCCAGTTCTCGGTGTCGTCGCCGGCGCCTTGGATGTACCCCCCTTGGTCGACCTCGCTACCGACGACTCGTCTACTGGCTGTACAGCAGATGACGGGACGGTATTCCTGAAATATGACCCCTTGGTCTTGGTCTTGGTCTTCATCTGAGTCATCTGAGTCCGGGGGAGGAGGGAGAGAGGAGTCCTGTGTGATCCAGAGGGAACGAAGAGGTTTTGTGAGAGATGTCGGGAGGGTGAGGTTGAGTTCTTTGAGAGAAGAGAGGAACGTGGGTATGAGGGCAGTGATTTGAGAGTGTGTGGATGCGGGGAGGTAAGGGGGGAGGAAGAGGTTGGAAGAAAGGGGGTTGTTTGGGAGGAGGGCCATGTTGAGAACGGTGCACCAGATGGGGATGGTGGTTGAGAGGGCGTCGGGCATGCCTGGGTTTGAAGAGTTAGTATGATTGATGTACGAGTTTAATCATGAAAGAGATGAGAGAGAGAGATTTCTCAGGGGGTTGGTGGGGGAACTTGCGTTTGCCGCGGCGAGTAGAGTCTACGATGATGATTCTTTTGACATTGATGTTAGCATGACAGCGGCTTGAGAGTTGGAAAAAGAGAAAGCAACATACCCGTCATTCTCCTCAATCATGTGGATTAGATGCAGATTCAGTCTCCTCGTGCTAAACTTCCACGCCCGCTCATGTCCATCCGTGCTCTTGAAATACGCACTGCCGTCTTTCCTGTCCGGCGGGATATACCAGCTACCACATCGCTCATTCGCCACCAGCGGCCTCTTTTTCCTCTTGCGCTTCTGTGGGCTGGAAGCTGGATCAGAAGAAAAGGTGGCGAATGAAGAGGCCACTTGGGCGACAAAGGCGGCGTCGGCGTGGATGGAATTGAGGCGATTGTGAGGCGTGAGAGTGCTGCGGCGGAGCTGGGTGAGGAGGCTGGAGATGGAGGGCTGGTTGGAGAAGAGGTCGTCTGAAGGCATTTCGTGTTTGTTTATTGATTTATTGATTTATTGATTTATTTGGTTCCTTTGTTGAGTGAAGGGCGGGATGTAGACAAAAACAAGGTTGGATAGAAGAAAAGTATTGTGAGTTTGATGTTGAGTTTTTTGTATACACAGTTTGCTGTGCTACTACAGTTAGTGGTGGGTTCATGATTTTTTCTTAGCATCTTCATGTGTACATGTACCCACCTTGCGCTATGAATCGTGTATTTGGCGACGAAAAAGCACGGCAGTATTCAGATACAGCGAAGAAGATGACTTTTGCATCATTTAAAATCTTTATTTTACTTTTTTTTTTTTTAAACGTTCATTTCATCTAGTCATTATTTTGGTTGGGCATACAAACGCATGCCTCTACACCAGCTTCCACTGGCCATTCTCAACCACAATCTTAATCTCACGGCCCTCATCGATACTCCGCCGTCCAGCCTCCAGAATGGCCGTCGTCGCAATCGTGTTGTTCAGAGTAGGCAGACCCTTGGCGTCCAGGTCAGCCGGCGTGGCCCTACCCTCGTTGACGGCGCGGCAGCCGTCGACAAACTTCTCAATGGAGATGTAGCCGTAGCCCGTCTGGCCGTTGAAGTTGCCGTCCTCGTCGGGGGCGTAGCGCATGTAGAAGGGGTTGAACCACTGCAGCTGGCCGGCGCGGTCGTCGGCGACGTCGTAGCCTCGGTGGGCCTGGTCGACGCGGATCTCGCCCTCCCTGGCCAGGTAGTGGAAGTACTGGTTGGTGTGGATGCCGGCCCGCTGGGGCGCCGTCCACGAGGAGGTGTAGACGGCGATGGCGCGCTTGTTGGGCTCGTCCTTGCGCTCCCAGGTGACGAGCAGGGAGATTGTGTCCTCGGTCTCGTCGACGCAGCCCAGGCTGGTGGCGACGCCCTTGGACGAGGTGGCCGAGACCTTGGTGGGCAGGTAGCCGCGCTGCTGGACCATGGAGTCGCAGATGTCGACGTGGTGGCTGTTGAGGTAGTAGGAGATGTCGGACTCCTTGCCGGCCCACGACTTGAACGTCTCGAGCTGCGACTTGGGCTGCGACATGTACGAGTAAAAGTAGTTCCAGTCGCCCAGCGTCTGCGCCTTGAAGCGGGCGTCTGAGTAGGCCGGGTCGAAGCGCTTGTGGTGCTCGATGAAGACGTAGACGCCCTTTTCGCGGGCCTTTTGGGCCAGCTCCAGGTGGTGCTCCAGCAGCTTCACCGCGGGCTTGGTGATGAGGACGTGGATGCCGCGCTCGATGGCGTACAGCGCAATGGGGAAGTGGGTAGGGTCGGGGGTGAAGATGGTGATGGCGTCGCCGGGCTTGAGGAGGTCAATGGCGGCCTTGTAGGCGTCGGCATCGACCTTGTCGTTGGCGGGGAACGAGTCGAACGACGTGTCCAGGTTGTTGTAGACTTGGGTGATGTTCTTGGTGAGGTGCTCTCCTACAACGCGGGCGAGAGTTCACAAGTCAGTCAGTCAGTCTCAGCTTTTGGCCCGGGGAGCAAATCTTTGAATGAGCTTGTAGGTACGTACGGATAGCGGGAAACTTGGTGCCATTGACGCCGACCATGCCCAGCTGGCCGACTTTGCCTCGTCGTCGCAGGTCGAAGAGGGTGAGGCCGACAACGCCCACCTTCTTGTCGGATCCCGAGGCGCCGCCGCCAACGAAGCCGGTGGTGTACTCGCCGGTACCGATCTGGATGTAATGGTTAGTCACTCAGTACAGAGGCATGATTTTGCGATCAATCAACTTCTAGCCGGGACTCACCATCAACACGTTGAGAGGAGTCGCCATTGTGAGTGAGTGAGTGAGTGAGTGAGTTGAGTGCGTCTTCAAAACGTCTCGATGAATGCGAAGGGGGGGTGGGTATCCTTTTGGTGAGATGGAGACGGGAAGGGTTTTGAAGATTGAAACGAAAAGAGAAGAAGAATATCACAGCATCGAGATTTTAAAGACTCGAAAAGAAAAGAAGAAGAGATCATCTACAGCCTTGCCGAGTCGCGTTTCTCATGCCAGCTTCCGAGTTGGTGACATGCTGACGGAGGAATTGAGGGGCATTGGCGGGGCAGCAAGCAATTGGAGGGATAAATAATGGCCGTGGAGCAGCATTTCAGTTGCTCTCTTTGGACCCTCATTTTTCGTGGGATTTGCTTGGTTTCAAAACATGTGTGATTTAATTGCCTACATTGTGACCTTATAATGGATGCATGTACATGATGCAAGGTGGAATACTACTAGTATAGCTTTTGCTGTCAGGGGTTGGGGCTTGTGCTTGTCTGAAGCATCATCTTGATCCATGCTTGACTTATACAAGTGAAGCATCTCCATCTACTAAAGGTCTCGGGATTCACTACCCCGCGCTGCATTTCACAACCCCGCAATGTCTTGGGGGAAAGGGGTCTAGGATACAGATCAGTGCAATGCATTGAAATCAAGTCAGCACCTAAACAAGTAGCCAAAGGCACCCTTTCTAATATCCCGCTGCCTGAACTGTTTGTCCATCACTTTATTACTGTCAGTCAGCCGTCCAACCTCCTAAAATCGGCCTGAATAAACCCGACGGACATGCTTGGACATCTCCAAGAACTACAACAAAAATATATAGCCGTACTACCGACGGATGGATCAAACTAACCAAGTACATACAGGTACGGCGGAGCGGGTTTGGCCTCTTCCATCTGATCCTGTGAATGGTGGGAAATGCCCAAATTTGAAATATCCACCAATCAGACAAAGCATCTCCGCCATGCCGCCATCTTCCATTGTACATGTATCTTCTCCCCCAGCATCTCCATCGACTCGACCGGAACAAGTTGCCTTATATATCCACTACCAAGAGCCGTTGCAATATTGACCCAATGCTGCCGCTCGCCACGGCTCCAGCTCACTAAATCTCACCCATCCCACCGCCGTCTTCGGATCGCAGCTCTTGGAGTCGGGGTCCGTCGGCCGAGCTACAGGATGGATATCGGACCCCTTCGGTGGCTGCCCCTCCGAAACAAAACATGTGCCCATGAGCATGAGAGTGTCATCAATGGATGTGGCTATAGACGGCTATTCTTTGTGCCCGAACACGAAACCGGTGCTTGTATTGGTTTATAAAGATTGGATCCATCCTTTTAGGAATACAGATCCAATAATCTCGTCCCTCCTCGTCTCCTTGTCTCCTCCATAGTAACGTCTGGTGTTTCTCCATCCTTTCCCTCTCCGCGTTGCTCATCCTCATCCTCCTCTTCATTCCACCTGTGTTCTTCCTTTGATACCCTCACCAAAAGTCTCACCACACACATCCCAACCTCACAATGGCGGCCCCTGCTCGATCGCTGCCATGCGGCATCTACGCCCCTACCATGACCTTCTTTGACCCCGTCACCGAAGATCTCGACATTCCCACCATCAAGAAGCACGCCGAGCGACTCGTCAAGGCCGGCCTCGCTGGTCTGGTCATCATGGGCTCCAACGGTGAAGCCGTCCACTGCACGAGAGAAGAGAAGATTGCCGTCGTCAAGGCTTCAAGAGAAGCTCTCGATGCCGCCGGCTTCCAGTCAACACCCGTCCTGTTTGGAGCCACCGAGGGCAGCGTCAGAGGCACCATTGAGCTGTGCAAGCTCGCAGCCGGGGCCGGAGCCGAGGGCGCTCTGATTCTGCCTCCGTCATACTACCGCGCCCAGACCGACGAGGAGTCCATCTATAACTACTTCATTGCCGTTGCCGACGAAAGCCCCATCCCCATCATCCTGTACAACTACCCCGGTGCTGTGTCCGGAGTCGACATGGACAGCGACCTGCTCATCAAGCTGGCCCAGCACAAGAACATCACCGGCACCAAGTTCACCTGCGGCAACACCGGAAAGCTCACACGGGTTGCTCTCGGCACCGACGCCAAGACGCCCTTCCAGGAGGGCTCGGGATACATGGCTTTTGGCGGCATGTGCGATTTCACTTTGCAGACGCTGGTCAGCGGCGGTAGCGGCATCATCGCCGGCGGTGCCAACGTCATGCCCAAGCTGTGTGTCAAGGTCTGGAACTCGTATGCCGAGGGCAACAAGGAGGAGGCCGAGAGGCTGCAAAAGATTCTTAGCCGTGGTGACTGGCCCTTGACAAAGGCTGCCATTGCCGGCACGAAGCAGGCGATCCAGAGCTTCTACGGATATGGAGGATACCCTCGTCGGCCGCTTAAGCGCTTGGAGCAGGCTCGCGTGACGGCCATTGAGGAGGGCATCCGGGAAGCCATGGAGGTTGAGAAGTCTCTGTAACCATTGATATATATATAGGTATGTAATATAGAGAAGAAGAAAAAAAAGATAATTTTGATATAATTCGGTGTCAAGTGTCTTTGGTATTCCATCACGGTCTATAAATCAACAACTGCTAGCATCTATATGCACGTCATCCAACTCTTATTTTTCACCAGCCACGCTTCGCTCAACCACCAAATCCACAATCTTCGCAATAGAAGAGCCGCCCATGATTTCAAAAACAGAAAGTGTCGCCCCAAATTCACGTCCAAGCCAGTTTCTCAAATCAACAGACATGAGAGAATCAACACCATAGTGTGACAGCGTCTTGTTAGACTCGACATCATCGGACGAGATGGACATGGCACGCGCCAATCTGGCTGCCAGGGCGCGGAGTACAATGTCGCCGCGCTCTCCCGAGTCCGAGGTCTGTTTGAACCGAACTCCCGCTGCCGCTTCCCCGTTGCTGTTTGCGCCATTGGCGGCTGCAGCGCCAGAGTCGGCGACGAAGGAGAAGGGGGCAAACAGAGGGCGGTCCATCAGCTGTGGAGGGCTGCGGCCTTTCACCAGGAGATCAGCGGGAGTGTTCAATCCCAGGAGGACCTGGCCGTTGGCCTGAGCCACGGTCTGGGAGAGCGCAGAGTCTGGATCGCAGTACATGGCCAAGACGCTGAGCAACTCGGTATCCTCAATCTGCTTCATATCCTCGAGGGATTGACGCTGTCGTTGATACGCGCTGTTCTCGGCAACGATGCCGACGTTACGCATCCAACCGATATCAACAGAAAGCGCAGTCTGTCCCTGTGCGAGACGGTATTTCACGAGAGCATCTTGGTATGTGCATCCTGCGGAGTAGTTGGCACTGGCCATCTGGCCAATGACGCCGGCAATGGAAGAGAGCATGATGAAGAAATCCAGATCCTTGGGCAGGAAGCGGTGCAGATTCCAAGACGTTTGGACCTTGGAGCGCATGGTCAAGTTCCACTGCTCAAAAGTCATGCTGCTCTGGAAGACGGCATCTTGGAGAACCATGGCCGCGTTGATACAGCCCTTGACGGGTGGCATGGTACGGCAACATTCATCCAGCGCATCGGAAAGATCTGCTTCGGATGCCACGTCGCATTTAGGCGTCACGATCTTGACGCCCCGAGCTGTCAGCTCTTCTACCACTTCTTGGGCAGCCTTGGACGCAGCTCCCGATCGAGATGGGATGATGAGATTCTTTGCGCCATGGTCAACCATCCACTTTGCGATGGCTCGACCGAGGCCTCCGGATCCTCCAGCAATTATGTAGGACGCGTTTGCGTCAAACTTCCATGACTGCTGCTCTTGAATGAATTTCTATTTGGCCATTGTTAGTATGCTGGATGCTTCTTCAACTTGTAAAGGGTGTCTACTTACCGGGACTACATCATCAGCTTGCGGCTTGATGATGACACGTCCAGAGATATCACTGTTCTGAAGTTGTTGGAAAGCCCCTTCAACTTCCGACGCACTGAAACATTGAAGCTTCGGGGACTGAATGTGCCCTTGCTCCATGAGCTCTATCGATTTCTTCATGAGCGTACCAATTGTTCTGGGTTTCAAGTCAAGCACATCAATGACAGAGAAGCTGGTGTTTCTGTCAAAGGTGCTAATAGAAAGAGCGCTATTGGTATCACGAGTATGGCGACTGATATCGAGGAATCGCCCGCCAGCGGCCAGGCACTCGTAAGAGGCCTGGACTACGTCCTCGCCGGCAAGCTGATTGAAAACAACGTCCACACCGTACTCGCCAGTCAACTGCATCACGGCTTGAGCAAAATCACTTCTGGCACTGTCCAAAACGTGGTCCTCGGATAGACCCATGGTCTTGGTGAGAGTCTCTCGCTCCAAGGGGGTTGAGAAGGTAGCAATGATTTCGGCACCTTGCATCTGGGCAATACGCACAGCAGCCTGTCCCACAACACTGGCAGCTTTGTGAATGATGACCTTTTCCTCTCTCTCTAAACGACCAACGTTGATCAAGGCGTGATAGGCCGTCATGGATGGGACGAGCATGGATGTGGCCACCTCGTACGACATTGCTTCTGGAATCTTGTAGACGGTCTTTTCGTTTCCTCGGGGATACTGTCGCATGCACCCGGGCGTCACCATGCAGACACGATCGCCGATTTTGATAGAGGCATCACAGTCACGTCCAACACGAGTAACAATACCAGCACATTCGGCTCCCAGTTGAAGGCCTTTGTGGAAATCCTGGCGGTCCATGACAGTTTGGAGATCCTGTTGGCCAAGGCCCCAAGCTCTGGCGTCGACCTCCACCTCATTCGGGCCCAATTCAACCTCATGCTTTGTGTCACGCACAAATCGCAGCGTGTCCAGAGCACCATGGGTTCCGATAGAGAGCTGTAGAGCAGGTCCGTCATACCATGCTTTATGTTGCAACTGGCGAGATGACAAAGAAGCAAGTTTGTCGTTTCCGGACACATCTTCAACTGCTCTCCCGGTCATCAAAAGTCCGTCTCTCACAATGTATTCGAGCTCCTTGGACGACGGGGATTCAAAGCTAGCGCGGAACGTCTTTGCAATAAGCTGTGCCGTCTTGAGAGAGTCCACCTTGCCTTCTATGGAAAGCGAAATGATGTGACTATCAGCCTGCTCGTCTCGAATAGCGCGGAAGAAGCCTTGCATTATACCGTAGCTGGCATAATCCTCGCTATCAATTGCACTGGCAGTTGCCCACAGAAGCTTGGTAGTGTTGCCTACAAGATACTGGAGGCACTTGAAGCTTTCTTCGCTAAGCTTAGAGAGCAGGGGTTGGTTATGGACTTCAGCGATACAGACAACAACGTCGTCTGGAGTTACGTCCCTTAGAGACTGCGAAAGCTCATCGAGGGAGAAAGCACAAATGCTCAAAGCCTTGGTGCTTTCGGGATCCAACTCCTTCTGCACAAGCTCAGCAAGCCGAGTTTGTCGGTAAGACTTTTGCTCATCGACAACAATGATGAGCTTCCCGGAATTGATTTCAGGGGCCAACTTGGGCTCTTCGACCGCAGTTGAGATGAGGATACTCATAATGTGGCACGAATCGCTCTTGTAATCCCGAAGAACCACATCGTTGCCCGAAAAGCCGTTGTCTCGCAGGCACTTATCCCACAGATGCTCAGGGACTGCTGCGGAGTGAGGTCTCCATTCCTCTCGAGCTACCCACCAGCCAGGCACCAGACCAGCCATAAAGTTTGTGGCGATATCATCAGGGTTGATGACCTCGAGAAGGATGAGGCGGCCTCCAGGCTTCAAAGCCCTGCGGACGTTGCGAACCGTTGCCTCCAGATAAGGAGTTGCATGGAGCACACTAGCGGCAACAACAATATCGTAGGATCCAGTCTGGAAGCCTTGGTCCTCAATAGGCTTGTCCAGGTTAAACGTCTTAAAGGTCAAACGACCCTGGGCCTTGAGATGGGGCCATCTGTCGCCAGCTCTCTCAAAGAACATTGGGGATATGTCAGTGTAAGTGTATTCAGCGAAGCTGGAACCTCCGGTTCGCTCCTCGCGCTGCTGCAGAAGAGACAGGACGTGGCCAGTCATACCACCAGTACCGGCACCCACTTCCAGAATTCGTTGTGCCGGAGTCTCGTGGGAGACTAGATCTAAGATGGTACCCAGACGGCCATCCTGGCACAGCTTCTGGAAGAGGTCAGCATAAAAGATTTCTGCTTGATCCGATTCGAAGACGACTTGAAGCGGGTCAATCTCTCCCGTGAGAATCTGGGGGAGCTTCCGCGCACAAGTGGTGTACAGCTTCCAAGCTGGTAACACCTCTTCGACTTCGACAAGCTGAGCTTCAAGGTCTTCATCGCTAATGTTTTCCCCAAGAAGTCTATCTTCGGGGGTCATGTTGCTGACGTGATGCTCCATCCACTCAACGTGACGAGCCAGGGCGTCGGGAATCTTGGTACGATCCAGTCTCTGAAGTACGCGAACGGAGACGAGGTCCAAAGCTGAGCAAATCTTGGCGTGATTTCTGACCACGGCTGTCTCGTCTCTCTCAGATGGATCTGCTTTGCATACAAGAGACAGCTGCTGAGGCTCAAGCAAACTAATTTGAGGCTTCCACTCAGTGCTGTACAGCAATTTCTTATCTTTCGATGCAGTTTCGTTTGAGACAGCTGCAGTGATGGCCTGCTCAATCGTGCAGAGAACTGTACCATCGTCAGCAAGAGCAGCAAGAGTTCCGCGCTCGCCATGTCCCTGGGCATCTTCAAAAGCCACAGCCGAAGTAGACGTCGAGATCCATCGGATGGAACCAGTATCCGGAGTCTGCCATTTTGGAGAAGACGCAAACCAGGCATCTAGAAGGCGAATGGGAACGTTGGCGGCAAACTGCTGACCAGAGCTGACACGCAATACATGGAAAGCCTGATCAAGCACAGCCGGGTGCACCAGACTGTTGGTTTTGTATCTATCCTTGGATACGTCGACCGAAGCTACAGCAGTGGTCTTTGCATCCCATCGTGCATCTTGGACGAGCTGGAACCAGTCGCCATATTGCAAACCAACATCTGCGGCATCGCGATACAAGACAGCGGAATCAACCGGCCAGACGCATGATTCTTCAGCTTGACTGAACTGCTTTTGAATCTTGCTGTCTCTCAGCCGCCTGCGCTCACTTGATGACTCATTATAATCAACTTGAATGCTGGCGCTGAAACATTTGACCCAACTCTCACGAGTATAGGAGAAGATGTCAATCTCGAACCCCAGAGAGCCGTCCTTGTTGTTGTTCTTTTGCGCATCCATTGAGCGGAGGTGAACTTGGGTTTCAGTCCTATCCTCCCACGTCTCCTGCACAAGTATAGGACTAATGAAATCAGCCTGTTTGACCAGGAAGCCTGAGACTTCACGATCACTGGGGACCATCTGTTGGACAGCCTCAATGGCCATGACCAGCATACCAGCTGCAGGATAGAGCGCTGTGTCACTGATCTTGTGGTGACCAGCCCATGGAACGGACTCGACACTCAGGAAATTCCTCC